CCCCCCCTCCCAATCTCCCTCAGCGACCCAGCCCCCGCGCCCCCCACGCCCCTCGCCTTGCCCCCTGCCTGCGTAAGGTAACTCACGCCAAAGCACTCTCCCTCGCTGCGCGCCGCGAGAATCTTGTTGAGTTCGCCGTGCGTGCTGATGCGCTGCACAAAGGAGCTGCTTGTCTGTTTGATGTTATTCTTTGGCCTTGTGCCGCCCGACGCCGCGCTGCTCGAGGTGGCGGAAGCGGCGTGCAAGGGTGCCCAGTTGGCGAGGGGCGCAAGGCCGCCGCTGCCTCCCGTCATCTGCGAGGCGGGAGCATCGATGCCCTGAGCGGCAAGTACACATTCGAGCGTCATGCCCGCGCCTCTTGCGCCGCCGCGCATGGCCTCCTCGCCGGGCGCGCGCACACTGGCGACGCTGATGCGCGCCGGCGGCGGCGGCAGCGGCGGCAGGGTCGAGACGCCCGGGCCGGAGGGCGGCGGCAGGGGCGGCAGCGTGAGGACGGGCGTGGCGACGTGGGCGCCCCACGTGTAGTCGCCCTCGGGCGAGGCGAGCGTCGAGCAGGGCACCTCGGGCGCCACGGGCGTCAGCAGGTACGTCGTGGGCAGCGAAGAGGGAATCAGCGCCGGCGTGGCCATCATGAGCGCGGCCATGCTGGGCGAGCAAGCAATGCCAACGGCGGCGCGGAGGGAAGTGGGGGTGGGACGCAGCGACGATGTGGAGAGGCGAGGGAGGCGAGATTGCCGCGCGGCCGCGCCGACGCCGCTTCGCTTCCCCGCGGCTGCCGCCGAGGCGCGCCGAGCGCTGCCGGCTGCACCCTTCCGTCTTGCTGCCCTTGCGCCGCGCAGCACGTGGTTGTGGGGGCGTGGGGCGTGGGGCGCGGGAGCCGCCTGGCATCCAAGCCTCGCCTCGCGCAGCTTTGTACTTGCCCGATCCACGCGATTCAAATCACGCGCGCCCGCGCGGCATGGGCTCGGCATGATGGTCTGCGCATGACGACGAGCGAGGGCCCGACGCTGCATTGGAAGCACAGATGCGCCCGAGCATGACGCTGCGAGGCGCACGTGCACCGTCGTGAGGGCGCACGGCCGGCGCGCACAGGCATGTGGGCGAGTCGGGGCGGGGCGGCAGAAAGAGAGGCGAAAATTGGCAGGGGCAAAAGAGCAAAAAGAATCCCCATTCCGCGGATCGAACGCGGTGCCTTCGCAGAATATGTGAGAAGTATCCAATTACAATGCAACGCTCTTCCAGATGAGCTAAACGGGGCTTCATGTTGGGCTTCCCTCCAGAGCAATATATAATCAGCAGGGCTGTGGCGCACACTCTTGTCGCCGTCCCCTGACCGAGGCGTCCTGCTTGTGCGAGCCTGGCGTCCGGCAGCACCTGTTGCTGAGCGCGCATCAACACGCCGCTTCACCGAGTGCGTGTCGCTTCTCCGAAGCTCGGCTGGTTGCCCCTGAGACACGTATGAGCCAGCAGGGCATTGAGTGTGGAGAGCGTCTGCTGGCACGAGGCACCTGTGCGCTGCAGGCTTGACGCGCTTCTGCATCGCCCGCGTACGGCTTGCGGAGGCCCGAGCGACCGCTTTTCACTCCCCTCATGCCCTCCTCCGGGTACTTCAAGCGTCCGAATGCCTGAAAAAATTTGGACATCGCCCAGAAAATACTACAACGAAGCTCTGCCCGCAAAGCAGCAGCGCTTGTCTGCCAGTCGCAGTGCGTGACTGCATGTCGAGCAGCGTGGAGCTCCGTTCTGCTCGCAGCCGTTCTGATTTCCCCTCTCCGGATCTGAGCAACGCCGGGCGAGAAGTCCCGGCTGGAAGACGCCTCTCAAAATGACGGATATCCAAGTCGCTGATCAGTGGCGGAGAAGCGACGCAAGCCGAAAAGGCAGCCTCTCGGCTTGATTGCTCCGACCACACAGGCGAACGAGCTCTGACGTAGTACAGCTTATCTGTTGAGTAGCTGAGCAGTGCTACTCTTCGCACGAGAGCATCTCAGTAAAGAATGCCTGACGCCTCGTTGAAGCCGAGCTTTTGCTTTGCGCCGCCTCGCGACGCTCCTCGAGAAGCAGTGCAAGAGAAGTCGCGTGCGCGCGTTTCTACCTTGCGCACGTCAGTTGCGCAGCTGGGCCTGTGGCGTGTGTCCTGAACCCCGGAAGAGGACTCTGCACATCCTACTGCCGACGAAAAGCGCCACGGCGGCGCGCAGGGCTCGCACACGGGCCTCGCACGCGGGCCAGCCGCCGCTTGTGCTTGAGGCGCTGCCGTCTCTCGCGCGCAGTTGCGGCCCGACTGGGTGCCGGGCTTCTTTGCCCAGACGCCGTTGGTGACGGCGACGGAAAAGGTGGCCTCGTTGCCGTCGTCATCTCTTGAGGCACCTGAGCTCCAGGCGGTGGACGCTGTGGAAGAGGAGGCGTGCTCGGAAAAGAGAGGCACTTCGAGCGTGCTGAGCGACGCGAGTGCAGAAGCACCATGCCTCCGCCTCCGAGCAGCGCTGTCACGCTCACACCTCTGACCATGCGTCCCTGCGCTCATCCGTGTTGATGGCGCACCGCCGACTTGCTTCTCGCCGACGCGCAGTGCAGACGCCTTGAGTCCGGAGGCGCTGAGCAAGGACGCTGCCGAGGTCAGCGGCGAGCTGCCAGACGCAGCGCTTCGCGGCGTGCGGGCTCGCTCCTGGGGCGGTTGGGCTTGCGTCGGGTCTGCGCCGTGCCGCTGCCGGCGAGCAGGAGCGGTGCGATAATGATGCAGATGCCTCGCACGCAGCGGTGCAACGGTGACGCAGATGCCTCGCACGCAGCGGTGCAACGGTGACGCAGATGCCTCGCACGCAGCGGCAAAGTCAGACGGGATGGCGGCTCGGGCCACGCACCGCAGCACGGCGCACGAGACGGCGAGCAGGCTGTCCCTCCTGACCGGCCCTGGAGCGTAGCGTGCAGCCCCTGTGCATGGACACGTGTGAAGGCGAGAGCGATGACTTTGCGTACGCATCAGAAGGATGAGCATTTCGCTATATGTAAAGACAGACAACGGAGATGGTGTAGCGGAAGAGCACAGTGTGGTGCGATCGTGACGTGCTGCGCGTCGTCCGGGACTTAGACAGTGACGACGTAGCTGAATGTGGAGCCAGGCGTCCGACTTGCGCGCTCCCTCCTGAACGAAAGAAGGAGAGCGCGAGTCGGACGCAAGGCGCTCTTCTTCGCTCGGTCGTACTTGTCCACGCCCGGAGCTTCGACACAACGCGATGGTGCCGTCGAAAGGTCAAGCCGCTGATCTTGGGGTGCGTCGCTGCTGAGCGTCAGCAGACGTGGCGAGCGCCGCGAAGCAGCCGGTGCGAACTCACGAAGCAAGGTCGGGCCGTCGCTAGATCCCGGCCGCGCGTTTGGCACACTGCATTCATACTACACAACACAGAGAAGAGCCAACGACGCGCTGCCTCTTCTTGAGAGTTGTGTGATACGAATGCAGGTTGTCAAAGGCGAGCCAGGGCGTGCTGGTGACGCAGTCGGCCGAGCTTGCGCCTCTGATGTGGACGGTGAAGCTGCGGTGGAGGAGTCAGGGCTGTAGCAGCGACTACCCTGTCGAAGCACACTCACACGGAAGAGAGACATGACAACCAGGCGACGGGCGCTGCAGCGACGAGGTGATGGACGTCGACGCACTGTGGGAAGAGCATGATCAGCCCAAGTGACGGTGCGCGAAGCAGCTGCACGACTACTCACTGTGAGAGGTCCTCCTACGACGAGGCAGCAGATCGTGAGGGCGGTGCTGGGCACGACGAGCACTTGAGCGGGTCGATCGAGCGCTGCAGTCTGTCGAGCAAGGAAGGGCAGCGTCAGCGAGAACGACTAGGCTCCACTTGCAAGAGGTCAATGCCAGCACGGCGCCGACGAGTCACTCACCCGTGCTTCAAACGGACGACGGCGTTCTCGGCGCGCCGAGCGCCGACGACGAGCGCACGGCGCGCGCGCCGGTGACGCCGACAATGCCTGGTGCTGTGGCGTGGGTGGCGTCAGAGTGGTGTGCGACGAGCGCGACGAGGCTGGCAGGGGCCGGTGCATGGAAGACGACATGGCGACTGACCTTGGCAGCGACGAAGGGAAGGGAGGTGGTGGTGGAGCGAAAGGGAGAGGGAAGGGCGAGCGCCGGCCTTTTGAGCCTACCGCGCGGCGCGCGCCGGCGCAGCCGCCGAGCACGCGCGGTCCAGCACAGCGCCGCAGCTGCATCGCTGCGCTGAGAGCGAGGGCACGGCCGGCTCGCAATCGAGTTGTGTCGATGACGCAGAGAAGCTCTCTGCTGCTCTGCTGCCGCAGACGGCGGACGCTCAGCCTCGATGCTGCTCGGCCCAGCGAGGCAGGCGAGGGCGCAGCGCCGACTGCCGCTTCGGGAAGAGGGGGCGCGCCGCACCGCCTCGAAGGTGTTGTTGCCGCGCCGTCCGTCGTGCTTGTCCTGCCTCAGCACCCCATCCCCCTCTCGCTCGTCGCGATGCCGCGCCAGCCGCGCTCCGTGCGCATCGTGCTCACCCTGCCCCGGATGCACGACCTCGTGCGTGTCGGCGCACAGCGCGTGTACGACGAGTACGGTCCGCCGCCCGAGGAGCGCGACGTCGGCGGTGCCCCGTCGCAAGCGCCTGCGCTCGACGAAGTGATGAGCGACGATGAGGCGTCTGCCGGTGCTGACGATGCGTCTGCGTCTGAGAGCGCTGCAGAGGCTGCCGAGGCGCACGAAGCGTTGAACGCGGCGCTGCACCGCAGCAACGCGTCGCTCGGCGTGCGGCTGCGCGTGGCCATCATGGAGGAGCGCGTGCAGCGCAACGTTGTGAGTGGCCGCAGGGCGGGAGTGAGGTGCGGGGCTGAGCTGCGACCCAGTCTCGCGTCATTGAGCGGCAGAACAGGCTCGAGCAGACGGTGAAGGGCATGCAGCGGCAGAAGGAGAAGCTGGCCAAGACGGTGGCGAGGCAGGCGAGCAAGATGGTGGGTGAGCTGCACGGCAGACCGGCAGCCTGGCACTGACGGCGCTTCGACAGGCGCTCATCGTGCGGCGCCAGAAGGAGCTTACCAGACGCCATGTCGCCGTCGAGGAGCGGCACGCCAAGATTGAGGAGCGGCACGCCAAGATCGAGGCGCGGCTCAAGGCACTCGAGCTGCAGGAGGGCAGAGAGAGCAGCATGGAGGGCGAGAGCGGCATGGAGGGCGAGAGCAGCACGGAGGGCGAGAGCAGCATGGAGGACGAGAGCAGCACGGAGGGCAAGGCAAGACGCATGACGGTGCCAGAGATCGAGAGGCGCCTGACGGCGCTGGGCGTGTAGCGCGCGACGGACATGCAATGCATCGCATCGGTCTCTCACGTCGCAGCGTATTCTCTCATTGTGCCCTGGCCCAGTCGAGTATCAAGCGCGCCAGCCCGTCTGCCGCCGCACCGCGTCCGCGCGCCCAGAAGTGGTCTGCGCCGTCGATGAGCTCTGCGCGGACGTGTGGCGCGGCGTGCAGCTCGTCGCTCCAGCTGCGGTACGACTGATGCAAGGTCAGGGCCTGGAGGGACAGTGCGGTGGCGCACTCACCGCAGCACTGGTGAACTGATCGGCGGTGCCGTGCACGAGCAGCAGCGCGCCACCCTCGCCGGCCAGACGCTTCACCTCCTCGCGGCACTTGCCCGCACGCAGCGTCGCGAGTGCCCACAGCACGCCGAGCGGGTAGGAGACGAGCACGTGGCGTGCCGTGTGCGGCGCCGAGACGCGGGCGAACGAGGCGCTGCGGAGGAGTGGCGAAGGCGTGGCGAAGGCATGGCGAAGGAGAAGGAGGGGCGAAGGAGGGGCGAAGCGAAGGAGGGGCGAAGGAGGGGGCGAAGGAGGGGCGAAGCGAAGGAGGGGCGAAGGAGGGGCGAAGCAGTGGCGAAGGAGGGGCGAAGCAGTGGCGAAGGAGGGGCGAAGGAGGGGGCGAAGCAGTGGCGAAGGCGTGGCGAAGGAGTGGTTCAGCAGAGCCAGAGGGTGCAGTGCTCCAGGTCCGGAGGCGAGGCCACGGCATCTCGCTTCTTGCAGCGACACCTCCTTGTTGCATCTCGCCAGCTGACTCCTGCCACTCACGAGACGGCTCCGGCGCTATATCCCTGTGATGCAGCATCAGCCTCCGCACTTGGCCTTCACACAGCCATTCACACATCTCTTGGCACCTCTCACTAACACAGCAGTACACCGTCGTCGCGCCCCGCTGGCCACTCAGCGCATAGTCCACCACCGCCTGAAAGTCGTGCGCCTCGACGCGCGCCGTCCAGCTGGTGCGCCCCGTGCTGGCGCCGACGCCGCGGGCGTCGTACGTGAGCACGCGGCAGCCGAGGTCGAGAAAGACGCGCACCAGCCGCACGACGGTCGGGTCGCCCTGCGAGCCGCCGAGGGGGCCGTACGCTGGTGAGGGTCAGCACTGGCGCACGACAGCCACGCGCCACATCCCGCCGGACACTTGACAGCCATGCCGCGCCACTACTCACGGTGCGACACGACGGCCACGCACTCGGGCGACGAGACGTCGCCGGGGCGCATCTCGCGCACGTCGAGGCTGGCGCCGTCGACGGCGAGCGTGTAGCTGAGCGGCAGCATGCGGGGCAGCTCAGCGCGGCGTCAAGGTGGGCATGATGGTGGTGGTCGTGTGGAGAGCGGCCAATCTTGATTGCGCCACGATCTGTACCCGAGGCGTGGGAACAGCGGGCCTCTGGCGCACGGGCCCTGCCTGCGGGTCACGTCAACCTCCACGCCTGCCTCCGCACCACAATGTCATCCGACCCACACGCGGCGCCGGCGCTTGCACGCTGGCTCGGCGCACTGCGCGCCGGCGCACTGCCCGACAATGCGCAGGCATACGCAGCGCTGCACGCCGTCGCCGCGCATCTCGACGGCCTGGCGGCAACGACGAGCGAGGCGCCCGCGCCCAGCGTCGCGCCCGAGGCGCCGCCGCGCGCACGGCCGGCGCTCAATCCTCGCACGCGCGAGGTGCTCACCGAGCTGGCGGCGGCCGCACGCGATGCTGCCAAGTGGCTCTACGGCGGGCGCCAGGCGCCGCGCGAGGAGCGCCTCGTCGACACGCGCGACGCCGCCGAGCGCGAGCGCGACGAGGCGCCGCGCGGCAACGAGAATGAGCAGTGGCAGCGTCTGATCTGGCTTGTGCGGCGCGCCAGCGTCTCGGTAGATGTCGACGTGGGTGAGTGGCGCCGCATGTATGCCGCTGCCGCAGCTCACACCTGCCGCAGACCTGCCGACGGTGCGCGACGCGGCCGAGGCAGGCACCTCGGCCGCACGTACGCTGCGCGACGAGGGTGCCGAGGCGCTGCGGGCCGCGTGGACGATCCTCAACGTCGTCGGCGTCCAAGAGGCGCGCCGGCTGCTCGTTGCGGGCATCGCCAAGGCGCGTGCGCGCGTGGCGGCGCGCGTCGAGGACGTGGCGGACCGGACGCAGGGCGCAGCGGAGGCGGTCAAGCCAGAGCGTGAGTGCGCCGTTGCCGCGTGCGCCATCACACCCTCACACCTGCACAGAGGACGCGCGCGAGGTCGAGGAGCAGAACGCCGTGCCAGAGCTCACCGAGGCGCTCAAAGACACGGCACAGGCAGGCAAGGAGGCGGTGCGCGAGGTGGCGGGCAAGGGCGAGCACGGTGTGCCGCTGCCCGAGCGCGAGGAATGGGCAGAGCTACTGGCGAGAAGCAGCGAGCGGGTGAGTAGGACGCGCGCGAGCTCTGCCACCGCACGTCACCAATATTTCTCAGGTGATCCGGGCGGCGCGCGAGGATCCGGCCGTGCAGGACTCGCTGGCCAAGCTCGTGGCGCTGGGCGAGGCATGGAGCGCGCGCCTCGATGCGCTCAACGAGCGGCTGCAGGCCGGCGGGCCGTCGTTGGAGCTGGGCGACAGCCACGTGGGTGCGTCTCTTGAGCCCAGTCCAGCAGCGCGCGGTGCTTTGCAGGCGGCACGCGAGTGTCTCGAGGGCCTGGCGGGCGGCACGAGTCTCGGCCCGACGCTGCGCGCATGGGACGCCCTCGTCACGGCAGCCCGCAGCGAGAGCCGCCTGCGGCAGTGGGCGCGCGAGGCAGGCGAGACGCTGCGCTCGTGCGCCGGCTTCGAGGACGGCAAGCCGGCGATGGACATGAAGCAGGCGCAAGAAGCGCTCGAGAAGGTGCTGCGCGAGCTGCAGGAGATTTTGCAGCAGACGCCGGCGGTCAAGGAGCACCTGCAGGAGCTGGTGCGCTGCAGCAGCGAGTGAGTGGCGCCGTTGCGCGCCATGCGCTGCGCTGACCCTTCGCCCAGCTTCGTCGAGAGCCTCACGACCGAGCCGTCGCTCACGGCGCTGCACCAGCATCTGGCGCGCGCCGGCGGCGCCGTCGTTGGTGCGCTCTCGCTCGGCGTCAAGGGCTTCGTCGGTGAGGCCGGTGCGGTGGCGCGAGACCTCGTCGGCCGCATCCTGCCGAGCCTGGGCGAGGTGTTCCGCGCCGTGCCGCTGCCGAGGTGGGTGCTGAGTGTGGCCTGATTGACGTGCGACTGACGCCTGCGCCAGGGTCGAGTTCACCTCCGACGCCGTCGATGCGGCCGTCGAGGACATTGTCATTCCAACGCTCAACCTCGTGCCAGAGACCGTCAGCGTTTCTGTCAGCAACGACTACTCCTACTCGCGCGGTGAGGCGGCTCCGACTGGCTGCATGTGCTGTGCTCACTTGCTCTGCAGACCGCTTCACGCAGGAGTCCGAGTCGTCGCTGGACGCGCGCATCAAGCTCGGCCTCGGCGGTCTGCGCCTGGGCGTCAAGGACGTCAGCTTCTGGGTCGAGGAGAAGGTGACGGCGCCGCGCGCCGGTACGTGCGGCGGCTGCTGCGGCTGCTTTGCGTCCGAGGAGGACTGGGATGCGCGCAGCTGCGTCTGCCAGGGCCCGGCGTCGTGGCTGGCGTACCGCGAGAGCGCACTGCTGGACATTGGCCTCTGGGACGAGGGACTCAAGGTGGACATCGACCTGGTGGACGCCGGACAGCAGGCACAGCGCGACACGAGTGCCAGCCACCCGCCGACGGACGACATGGACGAGACTCGGCGGGAGAGCTTCTTTACCGTCAAGAACGTCGCCGTCGATGCCGGCGCCTTCGACTTTCGCCTGCGCAACTCGCACCACTGGCTCGTCAATGCGCTCTTCCGGCCCGTGGCACGCCCCATCGTGCGGCTCGTGCTGCAGCGCGTCGGCGCGGCACTGGTGCAGTCGGCCGTCGAGCAGGCCGACCGCACGGCGTGGGATCTGCACTCGCGCGCCACGCGCCTGGCGCAGCAGCGGCAGGGCTGGGGCGGCAAGGAGGTCGAGTCGCGCGAGGAAGTCAAGGCGGCGTGGGGCGACTATGTGCGCGTGCTGCTCGACGCCGACGCGGGCAAGAGCGGCGCGAGGCTGCGTAAGGAGCGCGAGGCGCGCGAGCGCGAGGAGAAGGAGCAGCAGCGGCAGCAGCGGGAGGAGCAGCAGGATCAGCGAGAGCAGCGGGAACGCATGGAGCGAGAGCAGGCGCACCCGCGCACCGAGCCGCTCAAGCCGACGCAGACGATGAAGGTCTCGCCGACGGTGAGTGGCTGCCGCACCGCCGCACTGTGCATCTCTCACTCCCCTGCCAGTCGCTCATCATGACCGACACGGCCGGCTCGTACGCGCTGAGCGTCGGCGTGGCGCCGCGTCTGCTCGCGCCGCACAAGCGCGGGCCCAAGACGGACCACATGCGGCTGCGCGACGACCTCGTCGAGCGCAACTGGCGCGCGCTGGGCAAGCGGCCCGTCGAGCGCGCGCGCGCCGCCTACGACGAAGTGGACCCGCTGGCGGGCGTGCGCAAGACGGCCGCGACGGCAACGCAGACGGCCGCGGACGTGCGCGACGTGCGCGACGGCGTGCAGCTCGTCCAGGAGCACGGCGCGGGCGGCGATGGAGAGGACGAGTACGGCTTCAAGTCGGATCTGTTTGACCTGCACTAGCGAATAGCATTAGGAGTCTGTGCGTGACGTGGAGCAAGCTGCGCTCAGGCTGGAGCGCAGAGACAGGTGTGGGAAAGATGTGCAGCGCCGCAGCAGCACCTCACTGCTCCTCCTCGTCGAGCTCGTTGCGGCGCCGCGCCGCGCTGGCGTTCTTGCTGACGCGCGTCGAGGCGCCCGGATAGCCGTCGCGGAAGAGACGCAGCATGCCGAGCTCCGAGGCCCACATGCACATGGGATCGTGCGAGCAGCCGGAGACCTGGTCGTAGGACCTGGAAGAGGGTGAGCGCCCTGCATCGGTGGTGTGTGCTGGCTGCGACTCACCACTTGGCCGGAAAGGCGCCGAGCAGCTTCGTAATCGAGCGCACGAACAGCATGCCGCGGTTGCGGTGGCTGCGGCCCTGCACCGAGGCCTGGCAGCTCGGGTCTCCGGCGCCGTAGTCCTTGTCGCCGAGCGCCAGCACCACGTTGCGGCCGGCAAAGCGCCGCAGCATGCCGTCGCGGCCCAGACGCAGCAGGTCGGCCATGGCGTACGGCACCATGCCGGCGCTCAGGCCGAACTTGTAGTCGTCGACACCCGGGCAGTTGGCGTCGGGCCGCGGACGAGACGTCTCCATCCACAGCCACGACGCCGGGTTGCCGGCGACAAAATACACGGGCACGGCGTCGAGCTGCTCCTTGCGCAGCACCGAGTAGCGGTTCACGGCCTGTCCGCCGAGCGAGTGGCCGCTGGGAGAGGGTCAGTGCGGTGCGCAGCACCTCGCGCTGGCGTCACTCACGCGACGACGACGCGCTTCGCGTTCGGGTAGCGCTGCTGCGCCCACACGATGAGCTTGTCCAGCACCTCGTAGCTGCTGATCTGGTCGCCGCCGAGCTGGGCGCCGCCGCCGGCGTTGGCGCGGCCCTGCGCACCGTCGGACCAGCTGACGTCGTCGAAGAGCAGGTCCGTGGCGCGCGCAGAGCCGGCGTCGGCGTCCGCCTGGTTCATGTACTGCGTCGAGATGATGCTGCAGCAGCGAGATCAGCACATGCGCGGAAGGAGAGATCAGCGGATGTGCGGGAGGAGAGATCAGCGGATGTAAGCGGCAGGCGCACATGCACACGCACGCAATCTTCTTCTTGTCAATGTCGGCGTACGTGGCGCCGGCCTTTTGCAGGGCGTTGTAGATCGACGTGCTGGGCCGCGACGTCAGCGAGGCGGTCGGATGCGGCCCGCTCATGTGCTCTCTCCTCTCACAAGTACATCCAGCCATCGCGGCCCTTGGCCGGCACGGTGATGACGATGCGCTGCACGGCGCTGTTGTCGGCGAGCTGCGAGACGTACAGCGGCTGCGTGAGGCCCTGGCTGTTGACGACGAACGCATCGCGCAGCAGCTGCGCGCCGCACACGGCCTTGCTGCCCGGCAGCTTCTTCCAGCCGCCGTTGGCGGCAATGTCGGCGGCCGCGGCGTCGTACTGCGTGTACTTGCGCAGCTTGCCCTGCGTCGTCCAGCCGTGCGAGGAGCACTTGGGCGCGGCGGCCGCGGCGGCGGGCACGAGGGAGAGGGCCGCCAGCACGACGGCCAGCAGCACGACGACACTGAGCCGAGGCATCGCGGAGAAAGCGCAGTGAGAGAGGCCGAGACGAAGGAGCGTGGCCGCGACGGAGGAGCCGAGTCGAAGGAGCGTGGGTGGTGGTGGTGTGGAGAGGGACAAAGGGTGCGCCGCTCTTGTGCCGCCGCCGATCTCGCCTCGCCGCGCAGCCTCCGCTCCGCTCCCACATGTGCATGCTGCCCGCCCGTTGCTCCACCAGCCAGCCGGCGGCCGGCAGCGGCGAGCGGTGCGGCGGTACATGCCGACGTTCTGTGCAGCTTAACTCAAGAGAGCCGGAGTGCAGGCCGAGGCGCTTGAGGCACGCCGGCAGTCTGTCGTTGCGCCAGAAGCGCGCGCCGAGGAGCCGCTTGCGCTTGATGTTTCTGCGCGTTGGACCCCGTCGTCCCGCGCCCGTCGGATGTGCCAAGGCCGCACACAGGCGCGCCGCCTGCAGCAGCCTTGTGTGGCGCGCAGCGAGCAGCAGAGGATCGGCGCGCCACACCGCAGCGGCGCGCCTGCAGCTGCACCTTCGCTCGAGCGGCCGTGAGATGCGACATCGCATCGCATAACACCACCGACGCAGTCGTCCTCGACTCGATCTCACGCATTCAACGCTCACCCGCAGCCGCCGGCACCGAGAGAGCGTCCGCCGCGGCCGCTTGCTGTGCTGCGGCTGTTTGGCTGGTGCAGCATCGGCCCGCATCCTAGATCTCGCACGGCCGTTCGGCACAGGGTATGCGCCTCTGATGGGTGCAGCACAGCGAGCTCCTTTAGGCTCAGGCCTGGCCCCTGTTCACGCATCTCCAGCATGGACTTGAGCAAGCAGGCTTTGCTCCCTGTCTCTGGCACGCCATCGGTGCGCCGAGGCAGCAGCAGCGGAGCAGGCGTGTGCGCGGCAGCGAGGAGAGGCCGCGCGCGAGAAGCAGCGCGAGGAGCACCGCCCATGGCCAGCAGCGCCGGCGGAGCGGCCATCTCCCTGCTGCTCGAGAGCACTGGCTGCTCTGCTGCGTCGTCCAGCCCTGTTGCGGCCGTCGCTCTGGCTGCCTGAACAGACGCAAGGCTGTGCCGGGCTGAGGTGTTGGTCTGGCTGGGCCGGCGGTCACGTGCGTGCGCGCCCGGGATTTTTGGCGCGGCGCCCCGGCGGCGCCGAGCCTCTCGCACCGTGCTCCGCGCCTCGCCGCGCTTCCTTCTCCGCGCCACCCCCTTCATCTCTCTCGCCATGCCGATGGACACGTCGCAGTACATGCTGGCGCAGGGCTGGGCCGGCGCCGGTGTGCCGCTCGACGGGCACGGCGGCAACGGCCTCAAGAAGCCGCTGGCCATTCCGCAGAAGCGCGGCATGAAGGGCCTGGGCAAGGACCGCGACCGCGCCGTCGAGTGGTGGGACTGTCTGTTTGAGGTGAGTACGGTGCGACGAGGGCGACGTGCGGGTGGCGGCGTTCTGCAGCTGCGTTGAGACGCTGCGACATTGGCTCACGCGCCTCACAGGCCGGCGCAAAGACACTCGCCATTGCCGATCCGTCGCGCCCGGCCTCGGCGTCGGGCACTTCCACGCCCGAGGCCTCGAGCAGCACTGGCGCTGCCGCACCGCCGGCCGCCAAGGGCCTTTCGCTCGTCTCGCTGGCGAAGCGCGAGCACGCGCGCCGCTCGCTCATGTCCGGCTTCGTGCGTGGCCGCGCACACGAGGCCATCGCCGAGGAGCTGCGCAAGGCCGAGGCGGACCTGGTGCGCCGCGTCGCCGAGCAGGATCGGCGGCGGCGCGAGGCGCGCGAGCACGAAGAGGAGGAGCGCAGCGCGGCGCGACAGGCACTGGCTGCCGCTGCGGCCGTGCAGCCCAGCAGCAAGGCCCTGGGCAAGCGCAAGGAGAACGGCGAGGCGCTCGATGCCGAGAAGCAGGCGCGGCGCGCGGCCAGAGCCGAGCGCAAGGCCGCCAAGCTGGCGAAAGGCAGGAGCGGCGCGAGCTCGCCGGCAGACCCAGAGAAGGCCGCGCGCAAGGCTGCCAGGGCAGCACGCAAAGCTGCAAAGGCAGCAGCGGGCCAAGGCACTGCTGCTGCTCGCAAAGCAGAGGCACGCGCAGAACGGCGGGCACGCAAGCAGGCAAAGGCCGCGAAAGCAGCGGCCGTGCCGTCGCAGGCGCCCGCAGAGACAGCACCGGCAGCATCGGCGCAGAAGCGCAAGCGGAAAGACGAGCCGATTGCGCTTCAAGACGACGCGGGAGACGAGAGCAAGGAGGAACGCCGGGCGCGCAGAGAGGCGAAGCGCGCGCGCAAGGCAGTCAAGGCGACAGGTGCAGTCGCGTCGGCAGCGTAGGCAGGCGAGCGCACAATGCATCCCTCGTCACCTCTGCATGCTGTGACATTTGCCCTCAGTCCACTCGCTGCCGCTTTACTCTTCCCGCATTCGTCGTGGCCGTGCCGACGAGGCCTCCGCCGCGCGCCGCAGGCTGCGCCGCCGTGCCCGACGCGGCCGCAGCCGTCGAGCCCGGCGCGCTGCCAACGCTCGCGGCCGCCGAGCCGGGCGCCGCGGGCGGCGCGGCAGCCCCGCCGGGCACAGCGCCGCCCGTCGCGACGGCGCCGGGCGCCGTCGGCGCCATCTTGACATCTGCATCGTCCTTGATGAGCCTGCGCACGGGATACGTGCCGAGCGGCTTCTCGAGTGAGGCGAATGCGCTGTGTGTCGGGGTGCATGAGCCATGCTGCCATGCTGCACACCTCTGCACCACTCACTTGGCAGTCGGCAGGGGTGTCTCGCGGAACCAGGCATGGTCCAGCGCGTGCGCCGCATCGAGGCGCTTGGCCGGGTCGTACTGCAGCAGCGCCTCGAGCAGCTCAAAGCCGGACGGCGAGCGCGTGCGCGTCGTGTACCACGTGTACAGGCTGTCCGAGTAGCTGGGGAGAGAGGTCAGCGCTGCAGCACATGCACTGTCCGCCACACCCACCCGTCGAGACGCAGATGCGGCCACCACGTCTTGAACTCGGGCATCATCTCGATGTTGTTCCAGCGCTGGCGTGTCGGCGTGCCGAGCACCTCGACGATGCGCTTCAGCTGGTCGCTAGAGGCTGACGTCAGCTCTGCCAGGGTGGGCCTCTAGTTGCACTCACTTCTGGAACGGCGCGCCCTTCTTGCCGTCGCCCTTGGCCTCTTCGCCCTTGAACATCGGGCGCAGCGCCAGCAGCTCGCCCCAGATGCAGCCGACGGCCCACATGTCGATGGCCGTGCCGTAGTGGCGCGCGCCGAGGAGCAGCTCGGGCGCGCGATACCAGATCGTCACGACGACCTTGTCGCCGGCGTACAGGCTCTGCAGCGGGTTGGCCGCCAGCCGCGCCAGGCCGAGATCGGCAATCTTGACGACGCCGCGCGACGTGACGAGGATGTTGGCGGGCTTGAGGTCGCGGTGCAGCACCGCGGCGGCATGCAGATACTTGAGCCCCGCCAGCAGCTGATACAGCAGCGACTTGAGCACGCCGGCGGCCAGCGGCGCCCGCAGCACGACGTGGTGGTGGTGGATGAGCTGCAGCAGGTCGTGCTCCGCGTAGGCGAACACCATGTCTGCACGGCGTCAGTGGTGCGCTGCATGGGCCCATCGCTTCACCCACAGATCGCCTTGTCCTCGAGGATCACCTCGCGCAGCGTGACGATGTTCAGGTGGCTGAGCTCGCGGTTGAGCTGCCGCGGCCTGCATCAGTGCTCTGCCGCACAGGCACTACTACCCCTCCCGACTCACGGCGATCTCGCGCATGGCGCTCTGGCTGATGCCCGTGTACGTGCTGAGTTCCTCCTTGTCGGGCTTGAACTTCTTGATGGCATACACGCCCTTCTCGTCGCCCTCCTCTTCCTCCTCGTCCTCGTCTGCCTGCTCGCTGTGCGGCGCACGGTTCCACGGCCCCGCCGCGCGGCGCTGCCGAGTCGCCGCCGGCGCATCGGCACGCAGCCGGGCCTTGTACACGCGGCCATACGTGCCCGAGCTGAGGAAGCCGAGGATGCTGTACGTGCGCAGCACGCCGATGGGCGCCCGCACGGCGTCGCGGAAGCGCCGGTACGCCAGCATGGCATCGCGCGGCGAGCTTGACGCCGGCACCTGTGCTCGCGCCAGCGCCAGCTCCGACGGCGGCGACGGCGAGCGCCGTGGAGACGCACCGCCATCGCCGATGTACTGGTACGCGCCGCCGCCACGCTGCGGCAGGCGCGTCGGCACCGCAGACGACGTGGCGAGACTGCTGGACGACGGCGAGCGCGCCACGGCCGGCCGCGCGGCGCCTGCCTCGTGTGCGGCGGGCGGCATGCTACCGCTGCGTGTGGCTCTGCGAGTCGAGGTGCGGCGGGGACGTGCACGGCGCCGGGCGCATCGCGCGGCGCCTAGGCCTGGATGCTGGTGGCCACTGCACAGCTCGCGCCAGCAATTTGAGACGGCCGGCGCGTGTCTTGCGCTGATGGTGCAGCACGCGGCGCCAGTCGCAGCTGTGAAGTGTGCAGAGGCAGCGAGGAGATGGGAGTGGAGAGGCGAGGCAGGCGGGGCGGACGTGTTCCCACGCAGCTTGGGACACCCCGCTCGGAACTCGGGCCTCGGCGCCTCGCACTCCCTCGCACTCCCTCGCTCACCTTCACTCCTCTCGCTGCTCCATTCTGAGCATGATACATGCACTGAGATACTTAGCCAGACTTGAGACTAGAGGCTGCAGCGACAGAGACAGGTCTGACCTCTGAGATGGCGCGACAGAACGTGCTGTTGTCAGCGGAAGCTTGAGCCAGGGCGCAAAACGTGACGTGCACGGTGTCTTTCCCGTGCTCTCGGCGGCCTGCCTACAGTCCAGTCCTTCGCCGGCACACTTCGTATCGTTCTGCTGCGCAAACACTTCCCAGACGGTGATTTTGAGCCTAGGAGCTAGTCCTCCACGCCGAAAGGAGCCGTGCGCCGATGTCAAGAGCCTGTCTCGCAGCCCTCGCCTCTCGCACGTGACGGTGCGCGTCCGGCCGCGCGCGCGGCGAGGCACGACGACGGACGCCCCTCCCACCCGTCTGCGCCTCTCCCATTCATTCCGGTGCTGAGCTACGGACCAGACGAGGAGGTTCACGCTGCTGCTCTGCTTGCCCTGCACTGAGAGCTGCAGTCGTTCGGAGGCTGAGCGCCGCTCGACGTGGCTGCATGGCAGCGGGTGCAAATCTGGGCGCGCGTGCAGGCGAGGTGAGGCGCAAGGGCAGGGGCAAGGCGCAGCTCGAGCGGAGTGCGGCCGCCGCGCGCGCTGCCCGATGGCGCCGAACTCGGGGCGTGGGGCCTTGCCTGCTGGATGCTGCAGCGCTGGCCTCTGGAGCTTGCTGCCTACCGCAGTCTTGCCGCAGCATCGACAGGGCGGTGACAAGCCAGCGCCAAGGCAGAACCGCATAACCAGCCAGCCGTAGCGAGACCCTCTGGAGAGGTGAAAAAGGGACGGCCGAGGAAAGCAGCGCGCGCGTCAGGGGCTCGTGCGCACGTCTTGTCTGGTGCTGGAAGCAAGGACCTCGAGCTCTCTTCTCTGTGCCCTGCGCGCTCTGCTCTTTCGAGTGGCAGCTGGCATGCAGAGGCCATTCGACTGCGACAGGCTTGTACCAAGGCGGCTCGGCGTCCCTGCGAAGCATGTGAGGCTGCTGGCGAGGCGGCATGCTCTCGGCCTCCGAACCGTAGACGATCGAAAGCCCGACCCGACGAGGTGCCTCGACGAGCCGCGCTCCCGAGGCGGGTCCTCCTGCCAGGCAGCCTGCTGCATTCCGTCCGCGCTGCCGTCATCTCACCCGACCCCAGCCCATCCGTCGACGGCGTCTCGCAGCCTTTCAAGCTGGACGGGACGTCCGAGGCACAAGCTGGGCTGCAGCTGAGGTCTCACCGCCGCTGCCTGCCATGCGCATCGTGCAGCATCAGCTGCGAGCGGCGGCCGGCAGAGGAGCAGTCGCGCGGTGCGGTGCGTAGGTGGGCGAGCCGTGCTCTGCTGCCGCTGCTGGCGTGCCTGCTGCTGGCGCGCGGCTGCTCTGCTGAGCCGCCGCATGCCGCCTGCCTGCCGCGTGCCGTGCGCGCGACGCTGCGCTGGCCGGAGCGCACGCACCGCCGCGCACCTCGCGGCATCCCTTTCCTGTCGCTCCTCCTTCCATCCTCCATCCGCATCAGCCCGCCCGTGCGCCTCACTCCTCTCGCACCGGGCGCACCCACATCCTATCCGCCCACACACATCGCTCGCCGTGCGGCCTCCTCTCGCCGTGCAGTGCGCTGCTGCAGCGTGAGCGCCGGCGTGCCTGACGTGCACCTGCGCGCCGGCCCCGCGCCGCTGCCTCTGCCATGCCGACGTCGCAGTCGCCGACGACGCCCGGCGCGCCGGTGCGTGCGCGGGTGAGCGGCGCTGCGGCTGCCGCGGCGACGCCAGCCAAGCGGGCGTCCACCACGGCGGCCCGGACTTCTGCGTCGCCGCGCACGTCACTGCCCGGCGCCTCGCCCGCCGCGACGTCGGCGCTGCGGCGGCCCACGAGCTCGGCGGGCGCCGCCAAGGCAACGGGCATCTACGCCGGTACGCCGCGGCGCCCGTCGCCCAGCCAGGCGGCGGGCAGCAGCAGCTCGACGCGCATCCCGTCGCCCAGCATCCGGCAGGGCTCGCTGACGCGCCCGCGCCCGTCGGACGAGAGCCTCAACGCCGCGTACTCGGCGCGCACGCCGAGCAGCTCGCGCACCGTGTCGGCGGGCGACAATGTCACACCTGCGGCAGGCAAGGCGCGCCTCGGCGACACGCTGCTGGCCTCGCGTGCGGTGTCGTCGTCGCGCTCACCGGCCGGCGGCCTCACGCCGAGCAGCTCGACGCGCAACCTGCGCACCAGCAGCGTGTCGCCGTCGGCCGCGGCGATGGGCCCGCCGCGCGTGCGCCCGAGCAAGGGCCCTAGCGAGGCAGGCAGCAGCAAGCCGGCGAGCCCCGTGCCGGCCTTGCCGGCGTTTGACGCCGCGCTTCAGCAGCCGCTGTTCGACGCTGCGCCGCTGCGCTCGCCGCTGCTCTCGCCCGGCTCGGCGCGCAAGCCGAACCTGCATCTCAGCCTCAACGAGTCGCCGCAGCCGTCGTCGCGCTTCAGCAACTTTTCGTCCGTCGAGGGCACGCCAGACGGCTCGCGCATGCCGCGCCTCGAGATGGCGCGCAAAACGAGCACCAGCGGCGAGCGCAGTGCGAACGGCTCGGTGAGCAGCGCATCGTCGGCGGGCCCGAGCGACGAGCCGCGCGCCGTCGTAGCAGGACTGGGACTGGGCCTGCCGAGCGCCGTCGTCACGAGCGTGCCGCAGACGCCCGACCGCGCAGCAATCGACCGCGCAGGGCAGGTCGGCATCGGCGAGCTGGCGACGCCGCGCTGGGCCACGCAGCAGGTGGGTGACAAGCGTGTTGGGCTTGACGCCTACGCTGACGCTGCGCAGACGCGCTATGCCTCCTCTCCCGGGCGACCGGCAGGCCGTGCAGCGCCAACGCCATCCGCCACAACCTCCGCCGCACGCGGCGCCACGCGCGAGGCCGAGGCGTCGCGCCACTCGCGCGCCATCTCGTACTCCGCCTCGTCGAAGCTCCCAGCATCGCCGCGCAACGGCGCCATGGTCGTGAGCCCGTCCATGCCGGCGTTTGGCGGGCCGCTGTCGGGGCAGGCCAGCCTTGCCAGCCTGGCGCGCGGCTTCGACCCGGCAGACGAGACGGAGCTGCTGCGCGACGACGCCGACAGCCCGACGTACTCCATCAACGCCATGTCCGAGTCCGAGTCGGACGCGCACGACTTTCCCATGTCGGCGGCGCTGCAGGCCAAGCGGCGCACGAAGGGCGCGTCGCCGGCGACGATGATCGGCAGCGTGGCGTGGTCAGAAGAGGAGACGGGTCCGTTTGGCGGGCCCAGCGGCACGCCCAAGTCGAGCCGCGCGGCACCGGGCATCCGCCGCGGCACGGCGCTGGAGCGCCACCTCGCCGCGATGAACACGGACGACGCCGAGGCGCACGGCAGCTTCGACCTCAACGCGGCGATTGCAGACCTGCTGCGCGAGGACGAGGTGCGGCGCAAGAAGCGCGGCGAGGAGACGGAAGACGCAGAGGCCTCGAGCCTCTCGAGTGCCACGCACACGCCGCCGCCCGACGCGGCGCGCTCGGCGCATGCTCAGCTGGCCGCCGTCACACAGGACCGCCAGCCGCGAAGAGCACCAGCTGCGGCCGCTCGTCCGTCGCCGGCATCGTCGCGTCGCACATCTGCAGTGGCCGCGGCACCCACGTCTGGCCGCGATGCATGGCGCAGCCCGGCACGCGCAGAGCCCGCCGCGCGCGCGCGCCTCCCGTCCGTGCCCGCCGGCACGATCAGCAGCAGCGGCAATGCCGGGCAGGCCACGGCGGCCGTGCGCCGCGCCTCGTCGTCCAGCATCGGCCACTCGCTGCTGCGCGGGTCCATGCCGCTGGGCGCCGCCGAGGAGTTTGGCGAGCGCCTCGAGGGCGGCAGCGAGGACGCGGCGGCCGAGGCGCTGCGCAAGCTCGACGGCGTGGGCACCACGCCACGCAGCAGCCGCGACGCGGGCGCCCGCCTCCGCGAGTCGTCGCGCAGTCCGCGCGCCCGCAGCAGTGCCGGGCGCCGCACGCCCAGCGGCACGAGCGCCAGCCGCACGGCGTCGCCGTCGGGCAAGCCTGCTGCGAACGCGACGCCGCGGCAGCGCGAGGACTCGTCGCGGGGCACAGCCGCGCGCACGCTGCGCAACGGCCGCGCCGAGGGCCTCTCCACGGACAGTCCGGCGCGCGGCTCGCAGTCGCCGCGCGCACGCCGCTCGCAGCTGCCGCCGATGCCCGCGTCCGACGGTGCCGTCGCGCACGACCGGCGCTCGTCGCAGGCGTCGGTGACATCCAACACGTCCAACGCCACCAGCACGCGCTCGGGGCGCCCGAGACGCATGAGCGACGCGTCGCAGCACAGCGTCGCGGACGTCGCGGCCGCTGCGCAGAGCGCGCCGCGCATCAGCAGTGACGACGAGCCGCGCACGGCCAGCGGCCTGCCAGTCCCGCCCGTGCCGCCACTGCCCAAGGGCTGGGAGGTCTCGCGCGCGAGTGTGTCGAGCGAGAGCGCGCCAAGGCCGTCAAACGGCAGTGTCGCTGCGGCGCCGCCCGCCCCAGCCAGCGTCGCCGCCACGCCGTCGCACCCGCCCGTCACGGCCCCGCGCGGCGGCCTCACGCGCAAGTGGTCCCTCTCGAACATCTCCAACGCCCTCTCGCGCAGCCCGTCGGTCACGTTCAAGTCGGAGGCGGCCAAGTTCGACAGCCCGCGCCTGGCGGCCGGCAGCCCGACGCCCGATGTCCGCCGGCCGTCGATTGCCTCGGTCGAGCCCGACTCGCCCGCCGTGGCGTCTGTCGCGTCCTCCGACCGGCTGCGCACGTCCGACCTCCTCAGCAGCCCCTCCGTCAGCTCGCCGGCGAGCGGCAAGAACCGCGCGCCGCCGAGCCCGCGCGTGCGCCGCACGCCGTCCTTCTTCGGCTCGAAGCCCAAGCAGTCGAGCGAGGCGGCCTCACTCTCCTCGCTCGAGCGCGAGCGCACGCACGAGGACGAGAAGCCCGCCGCGGTGCCTGCGTCGGGGCGCGCGAGCCGCACGCGCTCGATCCTCGGCTTTGGCAATCTGCTGCGCTCGAGCGCGTCGCGCAAGAGCGTGCCTGCCGCCGTGCAGGCGCCCTTTCCATCTGACGCCGACTCTGACGCGCTGCAGCGCACCAAGAAGGACGCCGGCAAGCAGTCGTCGTCGCCGCGCATGGCGTCGTTCCGCGACATGCGCCGCACGAGCCTCATGAGTGGCAGCCGCAAGCGGGGCATGGTGCGTGTTGTGCCTGACCTGCTGAGCACGGGCTCACCCTCGCGCGCGCAGACCTTGCCCGCGGCCGCTGATGCCCACACTGCCCAGGACGCGACGCTCCCGCCGATGCAAGTCGCGCCGCTGCCCGACTCGCCGAAGCGCGCCACGCTCGAGGCCAGCAATGGCAACGTCGACTTGCCGGCGTCGCGCCGCCGCCTGAGCAACTCGAGCTCCGCGACGGAGCTCGGCCGGCGCAAGGTGGCCAGCGTGACAACCACTGCTGCGGCGCCGCTGCTGCCTGCGATCGCGCCCTCGCCGTCCATCTCGCTGGCGGGCGTCAATGGCGACACGTCGCCCAGCAAGCTGCCGGCGAGCCGCATCCCGCGCGCGCTGCCGCTGAACAAGAGCACGCCGGCGCGCTCGGCCACCGTGTCGGCCGCGGGCTCGCACACGCGGCGCCTCAGCGGCACGGGCCCGACGTCCACCGGCATGGCGCCGAGCATGTCGGCGAGCAAGACGACCTCTTCCCTGGCGTCGAGCTTCGGCATCGCGTCGGACGATGAGAGTGCGGTCACGGAGACGCCTGCGAGCAGCCTGCCTGTGCGGCGCGTGTCGATGTCCTCGGCCAAGGTGTCCGACGTGGCTGCCGCGGCGGGCTCCTCCTCGACGCTGGTCGCGATCCTCAACGCATACGCTGCGGCCAAGACGCCCACAGAGCTCGAGGGCGTGCTGCGGCGCGCGCGCATCGCCTCGACGTCGTCCTCCCTGTCGCCGAGCGAGCGCGAGGTGCTTGTGAGCCTCGTCGCGCGGCAGGAGCAGCGCACCAAGGCTGCCGGCGACGGCACCGCGACCACGACGCCGCGCGCGAAGCTCTCCGAGGGCGCGGCCCGCACGCCGCGGACCTTCACCAGCTCCGTCTCGTCGGCGTCGTTTGCTGCGACGGAGCAGACGCCCGCGCCGCGCAAGGTGCGTGCCTCGCTCACCGCCGCCTCGGCGATCGCACGCTCGGCGCGCGAGGCGGCGCTGTCGCAGCGCATCACGCCGCGCGCCTCGGTCGCGTCGCGGCAGAGCCCGGCGCTCTCCGAGACAACGCTCCGGACCAGCAGCGCCGCGAGCCGCACGAGCGCCACCTCGCCCGTCGCCGACGAGGAGGAGCGGCTGGGCGACGAGGAGATGGAGGCGTACATCAAGCGCCAGCACGCCAAGAAGGTCGCGGCCGGCGCGAGCCTCGAGGAGCTCGAGAAGATGCTCAACTTTCCCGAGCCCGAGCCGCCGGGGCGCGCCTACTCGCCGCGGCAGGCCGAGGCCATGTTCGGCGACAAGCTCTCGGCGTACGAGCTGCAGGAGATGCAGGAGTTCAAGGAGATCTACTTTTGCGGCACGAATCCGGCCAAGAAGCCGGCGGCACCGGGCAAGCCGGACAACAACTTTGGCTACGACGACGAGCGCGGCGACTACCTCGTCGTCAATCACGACCACCTGGCGTACCGCTACGAGATCATCGACCTGCTCGGGCGCGGCTCGTTTGGGCAGGTGCTGCAGTGCAAGGACCACAAGACGGGCCGGTCGGTGGCGATCAAGCTGATCCGCAACAAGAAGCGCTTCCACCACCAGGCGCTGGTGGAGGTCAAGATCCTCGAGAACCTCACGAAATGGGTAAGTGCTGCGGGCTCTGCATTGCATGCCGTAGCTCACCCCTGCCGCAGGACCCGGACGAGCAGTACAACGTCATCAAGATGACCGAGTCGTTCTACTTCCGCAGCCACCTGTGCATCGCGATGGAGCTGCTGAGCATCAACCTCTACGAGCTCATCAAGGCCAACAGCTTTGCCGGCTTCTCGACGCGCCTCATCCGCCGCTTCACGACGCAGGTGCTGGCGTGCCTCAGCCTCATGCGCCACCACCGCGTCGTGCACTGCGACCTGAAGCCCGAGAACATCCTGCTCAAGCACCCGCGCAAGAGCGGCATCAAGGTCATCGACTTTGGCTCGAGCTGCTTCGAGCACGAGAAGGGTGCGTAGGAGAACTGACGTGCCAAGTGCTGCGACTGACCACCCCCTGCAGTGTACACCTACATCCAGAGCCGCTTCTACCGCTCGCCAGGTGCGTGCCGCAGATGCGCAGATGACATGCTCGTGCTGATGCCCTGGCACAGAGGTCATCCTCGGGATGAACTACCACACGGCCATCGACATCTGGAGCCTCGGCTGCATCATCGCCGAGCTGTACACGGGCTATCCGCTCTTTCCCGGTGAAAACGAGCAGGAGCAGCTGGCGTGCATCATGGAGGTGCTCGGCGTGCCCGACCGGTGAGGCTCGGAGCACGCATGCGCCGCTCCCCCCGCGCTGACGCCTCTCCCTCGCAGCTATCTCGTCGAGCGCAGCTCGCGCAAGAAGCTCTTCTTCGACTCGACGGGCGCGCCGCGCCCCGTCGTCAACAGCAAGGGCAAGCGGCGGCGCCCCGGCACCAAGACGCTGGCGCAGGTGCTGCGCTGCAACGACGAGCTCTTCGTCGACTTTCTCTTCAAGTGAGCAGAGCCAGTGCCGCCTCGTCGCGCATGCGCTGACCCCGCACCCCAGATGCCTGCAGTGGGACCCCGAGCGACGCCTCAAGCCGGACCCCGCCATGCGGCACCCCTTCCTGCGCTCGCTTGCCGCCGCCCAGACGCCGCGCCATCATACCCCCGGCAGCAGCAGCAGCGGTGCCGGCAGCGGCGGCGGCGCGCACATCCGCCAGGTCTCGTACAGCAACGGCACGCGCAAGAGCCTCGTCGGCTCCAGCACCGCCGCGGCTGCCAGTGCCGCAGCGGGCGGCACCGCAGCACGCAGCGGCACGGGCACGGCGGCGTCCAGCGTCACGACGCCGCAGCGGCGCGCCCAGGTCTCCTAGAGCAACCCCACCGTCCCTCGTCTGGTCCTGCTTTCCCCTCGCTCGCTTCGTCCCGTCATCACACAGAGCCGCGCGTGCGCATCTACATTCCACAACACGATTACCCGCTGCCGAACATGCGTGTGCGCTCGCAGGGCTTCACATTTCGCTCACTCGCGCACATCCTGCACGGCGCGCATCAGCCGGCTGTACCACTCGTGCGCCTTCGCCAGCGCATCGATCTGCGTCGACTCGTCGACGGTGTGCACGTTGTTGTCGCCGTGCGGCGCCAGGTTGGGCAGCAGGCTCGACGGCGACACGCGGAAGATGGCGCGCGTGAGGGCCCAGTAGGACTTGGTGTCCGCTGTGAGGAGTGGTCAGCTCAGAGGCATGCGCGAGGTCGCTTCCGCACGCACTGTTGCCGATCATCTGGCTGCCGACGACGCGGATGCCCTCGCCGTCGAGCTGCCACGTGCTGCGAATCGTGCCCGCGAACACCCTCCACGCGAGGTCCTCTCCCGTCGGCGTGAGCGGGCTGGGCTCGAGTGCCGAGCCAAACGCGTCGCGCAGTACCACGGTGCCCTTCCAGCTCTTCTCGCGTGCTGTGGCCTCATCATCCGCGCCGCTCCACGCATCCAGCTCCAGGCCGGCACGCTCGACGTGCGGACGCAGCACAGAGGCCACGCGGTGGCGCAGCGCAGCGACCGACGACGAGGCGTCGATGCGGTAGTTGATCACGGCCGTCGCGAGCTCTGGCAGCGCGTTGATCTGTGCGAGGCGTCAGACGTGCGCAGGACACACTGCGGGCGACACGCACCTTGACGCCGCCGCTGATGAGATCGACGGCCTGCGTGGTGCGAAACGACTCGGCCTCCTCCTTCGAGAGGCTGCTCAGCACGTCTTTGCGCGCCTGCTCCAGCCTGGCGCGAGGACACTTGTGCTTCTTGAGCAGCATCGTCAGGCGTTGCAGCTTCGGCGTGCTGCGCTGCGAGAGCGCCTTGCGCGCCTGCACGAGCTCCTCGAGCGCACGGCCAAGCTTGGAGTGCTTCATCTTGGGCATGTCGCGCACGCACAGCAGCGCCGTCAGGGCCGGCGAGTCATGCTCTGCGCCATCCTCCACGAGGTACAGCTCGGGCATCGGCGGGTCGTTCTCCAGCGCAACGATCAAACGCGCCAGATGGCCGATGCCCGTGTGCGTCGGCGGACTGCTCGAGTGGCCACCGGGCGTGCGCACCGAGAGGGACACGTCAAGATAGCCGCTTTCAGAGATGGCCGGCGCCGCGAATACCTCGCCATACACGGACGCGTCGGTGAAGCCCTCGCCCTCATCGACGAGCATGAACACCGAGTCGCTGGCAGCCGTGTGAGCGCGCGAGAGAGGCAAGCAGAGCACGGAGAGGGACTCACCGGCCGTAGCGCTGCTCGAGGAAGCGCGACAGCTCGAGGGCGCCCTGCGTGCCTGCGCTCTCCTCGTCGAAGCCAAACGCGAGGATGATGGTGCGCTTCGGCGTGAAGGCCTCGTCGGCGGCGAGGCCCTCGAGCGCCGCCAGCAGCATGATGAGGGACGCTGCAGTATCCACGCTGTCAGCACGTCGACGGCTTGTCTCACCTTCTGCTGCTCACCCTTGTCGTCGCTTGAGCCTCTGCCCCACACGAGGCCGAGCTTCTCATCGATCAGCCCGCTGAACGGCGCATGCGTCCAGCGCGCCTCTGAGCTGGCATCGACGGGCACGACGTCCTGATGTGCGGTAAAGACGATGGGCTTGAGCGCCGCATCGCTCCCCTGATACGTGTAGAGCAGGCCGTGCGTGTTGATGTGCTCGAGCTGCACGGCGCCCGACGTGTGCAGCAGCGGAAAGGCGCGGCGCAGGTACGCCTCGAAGGGCGCAAACGTGGCGTTCCAGCGCGCCGGCGCCTCGGCGACGGGCGGCGTGCCGTCAAAGACGCTCGTGTTGATCTGCACGGCCCCGCTGAGCAGCTTGGCGAGCGCCAGCGGCGGCGGCGCGGGCCCGAGGGGCGCGCTGTCCTGCCATGGCGCAGGCTGCGGACAGGTGGCAGCGGCGAGTGGGGCGTGTGACTCGGCGACGAGCGCGGGCAGGGAGGCACGGCCCAGCAGCACGAGGAGCAGCACGGCGCAGCAGAAGCGCAGCCGACTCGCCGCACGGCAGCGCAGGCCGGCGGCAACTGCGGCCTTTTCGCTGGCGTTGTGCTGCGGCAGAGCACTGCTGGACATGGCGGCTTGGGGGGGTGTGAGGGTCGGGAGTGGAGCTCGAGCAGCCCGATAAGAAGGCGAGAGCGTGGGAACGGGCGGCGTGGGCTCGCCGCGTGCCGAGTGCCGAGTGCCGCGCGGCACCCGCAACCTTCGCTCACCCGGCCTGCCTCTCTCTCCACCACACTCGCTCGCCATGTCCGCACCGCCCGCCGGCCTCGACGCCGCACGCGTCTCGCGCAACCTCGAGCTGCACGCGGCCGCCGCGGCCGGCGATGCGGCGCAGGCCAAGGCGCTGCTCGACGCCGGCGCCGACGTGTGGTGGGAGGACGAGGCGACGCTGGGGTGGGATGCGCTGCACTACGCCGCCGAGCGCGGCGACGCAAAGCTCTGCCGCCTGCTGCTGCGGCGCGGCGCCATCTGGAATGCCGGTGAGTCGCGGCAGATGTGTGGCTGCTGCAGCTGCGTGCATCGCTGACCTGCGGCAGTGGACGTGAACGGCTACACGGCCGCCGAGGTCGCCTGGTCGCTCAACGACGGCGCCACGTACCAGACAATCCTCGATGGTGCGTGCTGCATGGCGTGCGCTGCGCTGTGTGATGTGTCTCACGCGCCAGCGCTCCAGAGGCAGTGCGGCAGACCGTCATCCGCAACCTGCTGGCGCAGAAGGCCGAGCAGCAGCGGCTCGAGGGCGGAGGTGAGGAGGCCGAAGCCGAGGCAGAGGCGTCGACGAGCGGCAGCGCGCAGATCGCCGCCGATGGCAGCCTGGTGCTGCGCGTCGACAGCGGCGACGAGGTGGGCGCCGATCCAAAGGCCTTTCTCGCGAGCAAGCTGCGCTTCGAGACGGGCGCCGACGGCAAGGAGCGGTGTGTTGACCGCGACGGCGGCGTCGTCATGGCGGCGTGGGAGACGTGAGTCTTGTCGCAGCCCTGATGCGCGCATGCGTGCTGACACGCGTCTCATCACAAGCGACATCATGGAGCGCACAGCCGCGCTGCTCTGCGAGGGGCAGCGCGACGGCTTCTCGGCGCTGAACATTGGCTTCGGGCTGGGCATCATCGACGGCTTCCTCCAGCGCTACAAGCCTGGCCGGCATGTCATTGTCGAGCCGCATCCAGACGTGCTGGCACATCTGCGTGCAAAGGGCTGGGACAAGCTGCCGGGCGTCGAGATCTGGGAGCGCAGATGGCAGGACTGCCTGGCGGAGCTGGGCGACTTTGGTGCGTGGCGTGAGGTCCCTGCAGCTGCATGTGCGCTGAGCCCCACGCCCCAGACGTCATCTACACCGACACGTACAGCGAAGACTATGCGGCCCTGCGCGCCTTCTTCGAGGAGCTGCCCAATCTCGTCTCGGGGCCCGACGCTCGCTTCTCCTTCTGTGAGGCGCAGACGCGAGACGTGCGGCAGCCGCAGCCAGCTCATCTCCCACACAGTCCACGGCCTCGCCGGCACGAACCGCTTCCTGTACGACGTATACACGCGCGTGGCCGAGCTCGACCTGCGCGGCATTGGACTCGGCACCGAGTGGGAGGAGATGCGCCCACAGCTCACCGAGGAGACATGGCAGGGCACGCTGCGCAGCTACTGGACGCTCGACAGCTTCCGCATCCCCCTCTGTCGAATGAACGTCTTCTGACGTGAGCGCAGGTGCGCGGTGGTGATCCAGGAGGGGGGGATATCAATTGTGCGTCGCGGCAACAGAGACGGGGCCGCGGTAGAGCGAGCCGCCGTGGCGGAAGAGACACTGGGCAGAGAGCTCGGTGGCGCTGCGAAGAGGGGCCGTCAGTTGGGCGAGAATTGGCACTGCGGAGCAGGCACGCACCTGAGGCGCATTGCGAGCTCGACATCTGAAGGAGAGCAGTGCGTCAGCCGAGGCGAGGGCACAGCAGCAGGAACGCAGCATACGCACCGGCGCGGATGTACTCGCCGCCGTCGCTCGACTTGCACAGCTTGAGCAAGGGGCGGAACGGCTCCATGCTGGGTGTGCAGGTGTCAGCACGCGAAGAGGCAGAGCGTGCGCCTCTCTGCGCCACGCACTCGATGATGAACGTCGCAAGCTGCTCGAAGCCCGCCTCGTCGACAAACTGAGCCGCGCGAGCGTCAGCCATGCAGCGACGGTACAGTAACGGCTCTGCGCTGCTCACCTCTGGATGCTCCTCCTCTCCACGGTACACAAAGAGCGAGATGTTGGCTGTGCACGGCACGCCCTGGATCCACGTCAGGACAAAGGGCGAGATGTGCTCCTCGTCGTCCCTGCCGCTCGTGCCCTTGCGCAGCACGCAGCCAAAGGCACCCGACAAGTGCTGTGTGCCATCGACGCCGCTGTACACCTGTGCGCGCCGCGCCGCGTGTGCCGCCTTCTCGGGCTTGTACACCGTGGCGCACTTGATGCCGTAGTCGAGGCGCGAGACACGCGAGGAGACGACGCCGTCGATGAGCCACACCAGCGAGCCCGAAGCGACGGCCTTGGCAGTGCTCTCGTCGGGCTTTGTGAGCTGCACGCTCGGCCCCAGACGGCGCTGCACCTCGTTGCGGTAGTACTCGCTGAGGCAGCGCGTCAGTCGCTCGCCATGTTGCACGCCATTTGTCTGCCACGCACCTCTCGCTGAAGCCGCCGACAGCCGCGACGGTGATTGGCCCGTTGCCGGCGCCGCCGCACTGCGCCACCCGCCGCTCGATCGACTCAACCGTTGCCTTGATGCTCGGCTCGAACAGATCGGCAATCTCCTTGCCCGTGAAGATGAGCTTGCCACGCCGCAGCCCAATGTTGGCGTCGGACTCCGACGACGAGCCAATCGGCAGCAGGATCTGCTCGACGTCGGCGCGCGCAAAGGATTGCTGTGGCGTGGCCGCGTCAGCCACCTCGCCGCAGTCTGTCCCGTTCCTCGCGCGCTCACCTTGATGCCCTCCGAGAAGGCCTGGCGCAGGTGCCGCAGGTCCTCAAAATTGTCCCAGCGCGTGCCCCTCAGCCGGTCTAGACGTGCGAGTCAGCGAGGCGCTCTCCGCGCATTCTGCAAGCCGCTTGGCTTACCCTGGATCAGGAGCATGGCGCGGTGATCCACCGTGGCGCTGCCGCCGATGATGCAATCGCTCACGCCCACCTCGCGGCACTCTATCGCGGGCCACACGCTCGTGACCTCGTATGTTGTCTGCAAAGGCCGCAAATCAGCAGACGTTCAGGCTTGGCCGGACAGCCGCGCGCGCTCACAATATCAATCGTTCCGCCGCCCGCATCGAGGACGATGAGATGCGAGCCGGGCCGGTCCAGCCAGTCGCCGGCGGCCGACATGGCACAGTAGTTGATCGACGCCTCGGCCTCGGTGACGAAGCGAATCGCATCGCTGCGCTCCGGCGGGATGAGCTGTGCGTTGATGCACGCCTGCCGCAGCACCTGCTGCTGCGCCAGCTCCCAGCCACACGGCGTCGTGATGATGCTGCGCAACGCGGACAGCGAGGGGTCAACCGGACCGCACGCGCGCCACGCTGCCAGGGCCGACTCACTACGACGTGTTCTGTCCCAGCGTCTGCAGCACCTCTGCACCGTTGTGCAGGCGCGAGAAGATATATGCGCCCTGTTTGTCGCATCATGAGCTCACACTGCGGCGACAAGCGCTCCGCCCGGCCACTCACGACACAGCGGATGATGTACGCCAGAAAGGCACTGCAGACCTGCTCGGGCGTAACACCCTCGGGCAGGGGGTCGAGATCCAGCTGGTCCGTGCTCTCGTTGGAGTCGCCTGCGAGAATGACGTGCAGATGTGCCGGCTTGAGATGCAGCTGTGCGACGCCCAGAGCTTCAGCATCGCCGCCTTGGCACGATGCCCTCACACTCTACGCACCTTCCACCAGCGAATCTGCGCGCCGCCCTCGTCGAGCACGAGATCTGCGTCTGGCCCCTCTGCCTCGGCACCAAAGAAGCGCGCATTGCCCGCGGCGTCGTATGTCACGACCGACGGCACCTTTGCTGAGCGCGCGACAGACATCAGCACTGCGGACGCTGGTGCAGCTCGCCAGCTGCCGCCTGCAGCAGGCCCTTCTACCTGCGCCGCGGCTGCGCTGCACGGCCTACTCACACAAGCCACTGGCCTGCCCTGGGTATGCGCGGCAGTCCTCGATGCGCGGCTTCTTGCCCGGCTCGAGAATGCAGTACGATGCTCCGCTGTACGTTGTTCCTGCGAGGTGTGCCGTGTGCATCAGCAGGGGTGCGGGACGCGCTATTGCGGCACGGAGCGCAGATGTCCTGCGCGTTCGCTGCGCGGCGTCTCAACCCCCTCTCGCTATTCACCCGCTTCGCTCCTCCCACACACGCACCCAGGTCAATGCTGATGATCAGCTGCCGCTCGCCCTGGTACGGCAGCCAGTCCTTGCCGGCGCGGCGCTGCGGCTTCGGCGCAATGCCGCCGTCGGCGAGGTACTGCACGTAGGAGCTGCTCGGCTGCGCGCCATTGCCATTGCCGGCGGCCGCCGCGCCGTTGCCGTTGCCGTAGGAAGCAGAGTCGCGCGCCGCCGCCGCGGCAGCACTGCCGCCGTTGAGGTTGCTCTGCGACGGCGACGTATGCGACGACGAGGAGCGGTTGGAGCCGAAGGCCATCGCGGAGAGAGGCCTGAGGTGGTGGAGAGGAGAGGGAGAAAGGGCACGCGAGCGAGCCACGGCTGCGCGGCGGCGTGCGGAGGTGCAGCGAGGTGCAGCAGCTGCGGCGCCGGAGGCAAGAGAAGCTGCGGCGGTGAGGGAGCGGGAGCGGGAGCGGGAGGCGGAGGCAGTCAGAGTTGGGAGGCAAGCGCCGTCGCGCGGAACAAGCACAAGGAAGCCCGAGAGAGCGCTGCATGCGCCGCTGCGCCCACGCAGCTCTAAAGCGCAGCTTAGCGTGGCAGCGCAGCCCGACGGCATCGGCGCAGGCGGCGCGCCGTGAGAGAGGCGGGGACCGAGCGCAGGCACGCCGTCGCCGCGCGACGCTCCCCTCGCGCTGCCGCCACGGCTTTCTGCCGCTGTCTCACAGCGGGCCTCAACTCCGCCATGGGCACGGCGTCGTATCGCGCTGCTCGAGCTGCTCAGACGGCCTCTGTGGACGCTGAAAGAGCTCTCCTCCGAGGCGACAGCGGCTTCACGCGCGCACACCCTCCAGCATGCTCTCCGAGGCCGCGCGGGTGCCTCATGCGCGATGCGCACAAAAGGCGGAGCTGATGCTGCAGCGAGGTGTGAGACCGCCGTGCTGGTGCGCCGCCGGATGCAAACACATCGGTCCCGGCGCTGCGGTGCACGACCCCTTCTCGCAGGCACGCACGCGATGGGGATGGCGTTGCTCGAGAGAGAGAGGTACAGACTGCCCGTGCCTGGGTGATGCTGCAAATAGAGAGGTGCGGCCACTGCGACTGCAGGTTGAGAGAGGTACGCGCGAGGGCCTCTCAGGGGTGTCCTTCCCGGCGCGCGCCCTGCTGCTCCAACGCCGCCGGGAGCGCTCCTTCTGCCATCGAGAAAGACACAAAGAGCAGCGGCTAGGAACCGCTGTCACTCCTTCCTGGCCTCCTCACCGCAGAGCGAGCGTCATGTGGCTGCTCCCTTGAAGGCATGCTCTGCCACCCGTCGGTCCGGGCGCCGAGCAAGTCCGATGCAGGGACCGGCACGGCGCGGCCGCGGCTGGCTAAGCGCGCCTGCACCTCCACTCGTCGTGCTTCTCTCCTCACCACCTCGACACAAGCCTCCGCACTCGCAGGAGCGTCAATAGGCCGCACTGGACGGGCTCATGGGTCTCTTCTCCCGGCTGCGCCGTCGTGGGCGCGATGACGACGAACGCGCGCCGCTGCTGGCCCAGCAAGCTGCGCCGCCGCCGCGCAAGACGCCGCTGCCGCGCATGCAGCTCTTTGTGCTCTGTCTGATGCGCCTCAGCGAGCGTAAGTCTGTCGGAGGGGGCGTCGACTGCTGCGTACGTGCTGATGCTGACGCTTGGCTTCTCCGGCAGCTATTGCGTTCACGGTCAGCGCCAGAGGCGACGACGAAGCGCTGACTCATGGCTGATGCGCGCGCCTCTCGCAGTGCATCTTTCCCTTTGTGCCGCAGATGCTGCACGACAATCTGCCTGGCGTGCCGAGCAAGCAGATAGGCTGTGAGTTGCTGCGCAACCATTCTCTCACTTTCACCGCTCATCACCTCCTCGCTCAGACTACGCCGGCCTCGTCGAGTCGCTCTTTGCGCTCGTGCAGTTCCTCACCGGCCTGCTCTGGGGCTCGCTGAGCGATCGCATCGGACGTAAGCCCGTGCTGCTCATTGGCCTGCTGGGCACCTTTGCCTCGGTCAATGCTTTTGGTCTTTCGCGCAGCTTCAATCAGATGATCGCCGCGCGCGCGCTCAACGGCCTGATGAACGGCAACGTGGCCGTCATCCGCTCTGTGCTTGGCGAACTGACGGACGAGACGGTGAGCTCGGCCTTTGCGCGAAGCCATCGTGCCGTGCTGACACTGTGCATCGCTGCAGAATCAAGCGCGGTGAGTCGCGGCCAGCTCGGGGAGATGCGGCCGAGACTGACACGTCCTCGTCACAGCGCCTTCTCCTTTCTGCCGCTCATGTATGCCATCGGCAGCATCATCGGCCCCACCCTCGGCGGCACACTCTCTGACCCCGTGCATGCGTTTCCCTGGCTTTTCGGACGCTCCGAGTTCCTGGCCACGTATCCATACTGGCTGCCATGCGGCGTCGCGGGCGCACTCAATGTCGTGGGCCTCGTCATTGGCTTTTTCTACCTCGAGGAGACGCTGCCTTCCAAGGCTGCACCGCCGCCCTCTCCCCGGGACGAGAGCAACGAGACACCAGAGGGCAGCGCCACGCCCACGCTCACGCATCGTCTCTCCGAGCCCGACTTGCATCGCGCCACCCTTGCACGCGCAGCTTCGCGCCTGGCAGCTCGACGTGCCGGCGAGGCGGCAGCGGCCGCAGAGCGCCAAGCAGCGCAGGAGGAGCTGCCGGTGCCATTCCGTGCCATCCTCACTGGCAATGTCATCAAGGTGCTGACGAACCAGGCGCTCATCAACCTCATCAACATCTCCTACATGGCTGCCCTGCCGCTCTTTTGCTACACCGACGTGGCCGAGGGCGGGCTGAGCTTCAGCAAGGCGGGTGAGTGGCTGAGCGCGCCAGGCGCCACCCGTGTGCTCAACAAGCTCGCGCAGATATCGGCAACCTCCTTGCCGCCAACGGCGTGTGTGCCATCTTCGTGCAGCTCTTCCTCTTTCCCTACCTCGAAGGGCGCATCGGTGGACCTCAGCCGTTGCTCAAGCGCGTGCTGCCCTTCTTCGCCTCTGCCTTTCTGCTCTTTCCGCTTGCACACGCCGCTGCTTTGCTGGGCCGTGCGCAGGTCTGGAGCGTGCTCGGCGTCATTCTCGTGGTGCGCAGCATCGGCGGCATGAGCATCGTCACGGGCACGCTGTGCATCAACAACATCGCGCCGAACCGCGCCAGCTTGGGCCGCGTCAATGGGCTGGCGCAAAGTCTCGGCAGTCTGGCAAGAGCCATCGGGCCGATTGGCAGCAGCTCCCTCTTCGCCTTTTCCATTGAACATCCCGACCTCCTCGGCGGCCAACTCGTTTGGTACACACTCTTCGCCATCGCCGCCCTCACATGGCTCCTCTCGCTGCGCATCCGCGACGCCAACAAGGCGCGCTGGCGCAAGGAGAAGCGTGTGCTAGCGGCCCCAGCCCCGATGGCCGCCGATGGTGAGGCCGCACCCGCGGAAGTCTTTACGACGATGCTTCTCTCCGCAGCCGCGACGCCCGCGGCGACGCTCGAATCCCTGCTTCCGCCGCAGCTCTGCGCCATGCTCCACGAGGCATCACCACGCACGCAGGGCGACGTCGTCTCGACTCATGTGCTCGCACGCCGCATCCCTCTGCTGCGCGAGCATCTGCGACGTCTCTCCACTGCCGTGGCGGCGCTGCACGCAGCCGCGCCGTCCGCGTGGCAGACGCCTGCCAGCTACGCCGCGCTCTCGGAGGAGCGTCTGCTGCAGGCGCTGCACGAGGCGCTAGATGGTCAGACCGAGGCGCGGCGAGTCAGACTGGCCCTTTCACGAGAAGAAGGAGTCGTGGCAGTGCAACACTATGCTCTCTCGCAAGTGCCGCAATCTCCTTCCGTCAGGCTCGACGTCGAAGCAACTCGGCCGCGCACTGGCACACTCGACGACGTAGTGCTCCGCCACAAGACATCTGCGCGCGGCATCTACGACGAAGCTCGCTCTCGGGTGCACGCCACGCTGGGTGCTCCTGCTGCGGCGAGGGACCAAGCAGCGTGCTTTGACGTGCTGCTCTGGCTCGAAGAGAGCGGCGAGCGACTACTGACGGAGAGCAGCATTGCCTCTGTGTTGCTACAGCTCGCTCCTTCTTCCTCGTCATCCGCAGCAGGAGAAGCAGAAGAGAGGCCCGTAGCGCGCTTCGTCACGCCTCCAAGGCGCCTGCCGCTGCTGCCGGGAGTGGTGCGCAGCGAACTGCTGCGACGAGGCGCGGTGCGCGAAGAAGAGATCAGCGTGGCACGCCTCAAGAGCGAATTGCAGAGAGGAGGTAGACTGTGGCTCGTCAATGCGCTGAGAGGCGCATTTGAGGTGCACTTGATACCGTAGCGCAGCACGCGGAGGCTATATTATACATTGCCCTGAAGAGCCGCAGAAGAGGCGTGATGCATTCGGAGCGGGATCGACGCAAGGCGAAAGGGTAGTGCGCCGGCAGAGGTGCGCGCACGCGACGTCAGGTCGCCACTCTCGATGTGGATGACCGATCCCTCGGCACATCAGAAGTCCGTGGCGCGGCCACCGTAGCTCCACTCGCGCGCCCAGGTGAGGGGGTCCTGCTTTGGGCCGCCCACCTCGCCCGTCTCGGGGTTCGTCTCGCCCTCAAAGTCGGGCGAAGGCTTGCGCCGCGCATCGGGATGCACGGGATCGCCGTCGGAGGGCACTTGGGCCGAGGTGAATTGCAGTGCGTCTGAAAGAGGATAGGCTCAGCGATTGCCCACGCGCGGATAGCAGGAGGTGCGAACGAGGCAAGGACGTGCAACGTCTGAGCGAGAAGGAGATCAAGACTGTCTCTGAAGGACGGAGGCAAGCGCGCGCATAGATCACCACACGGCCATTGCACTGCCCCTGATTGCACGCCGAGCGATCATCCTCCCACGGTCGGCGAGCGCAGCCGCGCTTGCCACTCCGACACGGGTGCGTGCAGGGCTCGCTCGAGGCGTCCATGCGTCGTCGTCCGCGCCTCGTCGCCAGCGAGTGCCGCCGGCAGCTCGCGGGGTTCGTCACGTCCAGCGCCAGGCAGGGCATCACCGCGCGGTGCAGAGTGTCGCCACCGCGCCGGTCCTGTCTAGCTCCAGAGCAGTCCTCCTTGCCACCGCGCCGGCCTTGTCTGGCTCCCGAGCCGTGCTGCTTGCTCCATTGCCCTCCTCGTCCTTAGCTGCACGCGACGGCGACGACTCACTGCTCTTCTCCTTGACGAGCTTCTCGAACTCCCTCTGTTCGCGCGGCGGCAAGGAAGGCGGGCCTGGCCGGCTGAAGAGCTTGCCGTTGCCGCCGCCGCCGCCGCTGCTGCTGCTGCTGCCCTCGCCCTGCTGCAAGGCGCAGGCGGAGGTGCGCAGTGTGCGCGCCGAGGCGCAAGAAAGGCGCAGCGGCGGCAGGAGTGCGGTGCGAAGGGCGAGCATGGCGAGGACGAGGAAGTGGAGGTGAGGAGGGAGGCAGGAGATGCGCACTCGGACTCGACTGCGCCATCTTGAGGCGCGCCCCGCACTCGGCCGCCGGTGGCGCGCCGCGGTTACCTAAGCACGGCCTCCCCTCGTCCTCCGAAGCGTCCACCGCCCCCCAACGACGCCTCCGCAGCACGATGGTCTCAAGACGCGCACCAGATACTCTTGATGGTTGCTTCAGCATTGCAGGCATCACGATGACAAGCGCCAGAGCCGCACGGACCATCCCTGGGCGCGCGGCTCTTGGCGGTGGCTGGTCATTGCAAGCTGGACCCCTGACCTCCAGGGTGCAGCGCAGCCGGCGGCTCAGCCACCCCCAGAGGGCTTCTCACGGAGCCGTCCGGGATGCAGCTACGTGCTGCAAGTGTCCCGGCGCACGGGGTCGTCGCAGCTCGCCGCTGCCGGAGCAATGCACAACGGAGCTCGGACGCTCGAGAAGGGTGGCGTTCTGCGGAAGCAGGCCGTGTGTTGCCATGGAGAAGCAGAGGAGAGCAAGAGAGGGTGCAGCGGCGGAATGCGCTGCTCTTCAACACCTCGTCTGCCCGCAAGCACGACACTGCTCTGCGTGCTGCGAAGACGCTGCAGAGGGTGCTGGCGTATCAAGGTTCCGACTCACACAGCAAGCAGGCTTGTAGTTGCCTCCTCTGCGGTGCTCGGCGTGGATGGACAAGTCCGCCCATGCTCGTGGCCCGCGTCCACAAACAGGTCGCACGCCTGCGCCACACGGGGCGCTCGCAGCGTCCAGCAGCTGATGCAGGATGGCATGGCGCGTCAGCCGTCGGTCGTCGGCTGCGGCCTTCTGATTGCCGCCGACTCGCCGTGGCATGCTGATGCTGGCGGTCGAAGCGGACCCGGGTCGCTTCGGCATGTCCTTGTTCCGCAGACGCAGCGATGACCAACCGTGGCGAAGGACACGCTCACGCGTACGGCGGCAACGACGGCAGACGCGGACGACTACCGTGCCGCGACGGTGAGAGCAAGGCGCGACATGTTCGCATCTCCCCGTCCCTGGTCTCCGTCCCCTGCTCCGCTCCTTGGGCACCGAGCAAGTGCCGAGCGAGGGGGATAAACAAGGGAGAGAAAGCTGCCGACGAGCCTGCAGTGCAGCGGGCAGGCGGCATGCTGAGAGGACAGCTTACCGATGCACTCGAGTCTGCAGCAGCTGCTCCGTGAGACAGGCACGCACACAACGACGGCATCGCACAGCCAGCACTCTGGGCTGTGCTTCAGCACAGCTTGGCGCCTCTTTCCGCGGCAGTGACCTGCCGTCGCGGTGACGGGCGGAGAGAAGCGCGGAGAGCGGCGTCCTGCACGATGGTGCTCCGCGTTCAGCCACACGAGCGCGTCCCGGATCTCAGCTCTCGGAGCTGGCGGCTAGGGGCGCCGCTCGGCTTGAGCGCCGCGGGAGCGCCCAACGAGCTCGAATATCAGATGGCTCTCCATTGTGAGGCGACGGGCTGGCGGCACGGGAAGATAGACGAGACATTCGCCAGGCCGCCGTCGTGAGTGTGACGACCTCACGGGAACGACGCGTCTGTCTCGCATTCGGCGCCCCGTGGCTCTGCATGCGTCGAAGCTCGCGCAGGCGACCCGAGGCAGAGGATTGTGGGCTCTCATTCGCTGTCGGTGACCGTACGCAACCGCGCAGGCGTGTGAGTCGTCGCTGCGGCCAAATTCGCCCTTCGTCGTCGGACATCGCCGAGGCTGAGCTTGAGAGACGGCGGCGGCACCGGCGGATGAGGTCGTCGTCGCCGTGCGCCCTTGGCCGCTGCGCTGCGGCCGCGCCTGCGGATCTCACCCGGGGCGGCTCTGCACGGCGGCTGCATGCAAACGCCACACTGCGAGCGCCGACACAGCTGACGTGCCGTGAAGGCTGTCAAGTTGCTAGCGTCGCCGCAGCGCACAGGTGCAGCGCAGCAGCCGCAGGGGCGCCACGCCTGTCGCCGTTCCGCGTGCGCGATGGCGCCGCCCCCGAAAGCGCGACCAAGCCACACGTCCGTCGCTTGCGGGCGCTTCGATGACTGCTCAGCTGCCTCGGCCTCGGTTCCGCCGCACCCGGTGTGATGTGTGGACTGCGCGGCGCTCGTGCTGTGGGCTGCATGCTGCCGCTCTGGCACGGGCATATCTCTTCTCGCTGCTCCTCCCTCGTCCCTCGCCCTCGAGACCTCCTGACAGCGCGCAAGCAGGCAGGCGCCGAAGCGCCGGGAGAGACACGATGCGCCTTTGCAGCGCTCGTCGCTCAAACTCTACGCATGCGAACTGTCTCTTGGAGCAGTTGGCCCTCGCACGAGGGTTGACGGACAAGAGCACGCGAGAGAGAGCACCCGAGAGGGGGGTATTGCCGCACAGCCGCATCGCCCAATTGCCGGAAGAGAAGGCGAGGCGGCCGTGCTGCGGCCGAGTGCCTGGCTTCTACACTTTCACTTTGGAGCCTCTGGAACCACTCTCCTGAAGCCGAAGCTTCAAATTCTGCCCTCGTGCGCACAGCACAAGAGTAATGAAGGGGTGCCTGCGCCGCATGCGCTGCCCGTGTGCTCCTGCGCCGCGCTCTCGTGCTCGAGACTGCTGGCCGTCGGCAGATGCAGCGGCAAGATCGCATCGGTGGCGCTGCCCCTCTCTCGCGGGCCGGCTTCGGCTCTCGCGATGCGCTCTGCCGCCTGCCGCCCGCAACCGCGCCCGCCGCTGCAGCTCCCTTCCCGCCCGGCTCGCCTTTGCTCCGCGCGCGCCGCTGCATGCGCAGCAGCGCGATCTTGTGCTGCACCTGCGAAGCCGTCGGCTCTGCACCCCCTGCGCCGCCTCCGTCGAATCAGAAATCGGCCGGCGCGCTGCCACGGTGCGACAGCTGCCACGCTAGCCGCGCAGGATGCAGCGAGGAGGCGGCCTCGGAGGCGATGCGCTGGGCCAAGCGCGCCCGGCCGGATGGATCCCGGCAGGCGCAGCATGCGGCTCGGCGGCAGTGCTGCGGCGCGGCGCGCACCCTGAAGCCGGGCGCCGGCGCGTGGCGCGATGGCGGCGGCGGAGCGTGAGGCGTGAGGGGTGCTTCGGCGGCAGGGCAGCACGAGCGCTGCTCCGGCGCCAGCTCGGGGTGCGGCAGCTGGGCTGGCGTCTGGCAGGCGCCACGGTGCCTGTCTCGCTCCTTTTGCGCGCGTGCGGCGGCGCGGCTGCCCGGGTGCCGCTGCCCGCTGCCCGCGTGCCCGCGGCTGCACCTCGCCTGCGACCTGCTGCGCTGCACCCGCGGCCAGCCACCGACGCCGCGTCGCGCCGTTCGCGGGCGGCGCTCCGAGGGCCAGGCAAGGCAGGTCCACGCCCCGCTCGCCGCCTGCCGTGCGCCTGCGCGCCGCCTGCGCTGCCCCGACGCCGCCGTCCGCGTCGCCGTGTCGCCTTCGCCCTTCGCCCGCACCGTCGCGCCTTCGCCATCCCTGCTCCCAGCACCAGCATCTCTCGCACGCGCGTCCATTCCGCACTCCTCTGCTCATCCTCACCCCGGCAGCCGCGCTCTCGCGTCTCCTCTATTCCTTCCAGCTCCCCGTCGCGCGCGCGCACGCCTGCCATGGCGTCCCCGCACGGCACGTCGCCCTCGCTGCCGCCTCTCGCCGGCGGCAGCGGCAGCGGCAGCAGTGCGCCCGAGGGCACTCCCACGGCCGCCGGCGCATCTGCGGCAGCACCCGGCGCACGCTCCTCGTCGCCGTCGTCGCCGTACGTGTCGCCCATCATTCCGCGCCGGCGCCTCGGCGCACTGACGGGCGACGACGCCTCGAGCGACGTCCTCTCCAGCCTCACGCTGCCGCCGCCCATTCCACGGCGTCGCGGCGCCGTCAGCGGTGCGTCGGGCCCGTCGCTGCCCTTCCCGCCGCTGGGCCGCGCACGCCGTGGCTCGCGCGGCCCCAGCCCGTCCGGCGGCAGCGTCGACGGCAGCGACGAACTGCCCGTGCTGGCGCCCATCGGCATCCCCACGCAGCGGCGCGGCGCCATTGCCGGGCCCGCGACGAGTGGCTCGACGTACCCGCGCCACAACGCCCCGCCATATGGCTCGTCGCTGCATCCGTTCGAGGGCGGGCCCGGCGGCACGAGTAGTGCGCCGCCCAGCTCCGGCGCCGCAGACGTGCCCTTCTACGCCGTCTCTGCGCTCTCGGGTCCCGGGCCCTCGGCCTCGATCCCCGCAGCATGGACGGATCTGCGGCGTCCCTCGCGCGGCAGTGCGCCGCCGCTCGACGGCTCGCTCGGCGCCGGCGGGCCTTCGAGCGACAGCTTGGGCCCCTCGAGCGCCTATGCCGCCAGCATCGCGGCCTCGAGCGCTGCGGCGGGCGGCTACGCGCCGGCATACTCCCACCCGGGACCCGTGCCGTCTATGATGAGCATGTCGCACGCCGGCTACGGCGCGCCACGCCCCGCATGGGCGCCTGGCATGAGTGGGCCTTCGCACCCTGCCGTCATGGCGCTGCATCACGGCGGTGGCGGCGGCGGCGGCGGTGACATGTACGGCGCGCCGCATCCCTACGGCCACATGATGACGGCCGGCGGCTTCGACATGAGCAAGCCACGTCCGCGCTCCGGCCCACGCATCGAGAGCGACGTGCCGCGCAACTTCCGCTGCCAGTACGCCGGCTGCCCGGCGCGCTTCCAGCGCAACCACGATCTCAAGCGCCACCAGCGTGGGCATCTGGCCACGCGGCCGTTTGCATGCAGCTGCGGCAAGAGCTTCAGCCGCAAGGATGCGCTGAAGCGACACATGCTTGTCAAGGTGAGCTGCGCAGTTGCGGGCATAGTGTCTGCGTCCGACCTGTAGGCTCACATCTCATCTTGCAGGGCTGCGGAGCGTCGAACAACTCGCGCGACGGCGACGGCAAGGGTCCGGGCGGCGACGCCAAGAGCGGCAGCGGCGGCCCGCACGGCGGCCCGCACAACGGCGACGGCGGCGACGAGGGCGGCGAGTACGACGACGACATGGAGCACGACGACTACGACGACGGCAACGAGGACATGGGCGACTCGTCCGTCGGCGAGGCCGCACGCGGCACCAGCGAGGCCGACGCGAGTCGGGAGCGTGCCTACTCGGGCGGCGCGGCGAGCCAGAGCAGCTGGCATGAGCAGCAGCAGCAACAGCAGCACCAGCAGCAGCAGCAGCAGCAGCAACACTCGCACTATATGCAACAGCAAGCCCACACGCGCGTCGTCTCTGCGCCAGCTCCGCAGGCTCACTACGGCGGCGGCGGCCTGCAGATGCCGCCGTACGGCATTGCTCCCGGCTCTCCGCGTGCTCGCGCACAGGCCCCGTTCATGCCTCAGCGCACCGCGTTGCAGCAACAGCACTCGTCGCCTTCGCTAGGAGGAGGCGGACACGGCGTCAACTACTCTCCCTCGCAGCCGCCAAGCTCGACGAGCGGCATGAGCGATGATCTGCTGCTTGCGTGGTCGCGCGGTGCGCCCGGTGCTCATGCAGACGGAGCGTCGGACGGCGAACCTGCAGCACGAGGCGGCGCGGGCAGGCCGCCCATGGCGCGCACGGAGAGCGTGGATGTGCTCAGTGCGGGCTACTCGGGCGCCGAGAGCAGCAGTCCAGATGCAGGCGGCAGTGCAAATGGAGGCGCAGCGGCAAAGGCTCCCCCCTCGCTCTTCCCTTCCTCGGCCGGCTCGACGGCCTTCGGCGCCGGCAGCACCTGGGGCGCCAGTGCGAGCGGCGGTCAACCAGCGGCATACGCTTACGGTCTGCCTCCGCCGCCGGACGTCGCCGAGGAGCCCGAGATGGCAGCTGCTACCACTGCGGCTGCCGCGGCGGCCGTCACGGCAAGCAGTGTGCCCAGCAGTGTCCTCGCGAGCGCGGCCGGCGCCCTGAGCCGCCGCGAGAGCGTCACGAGCCTGCTGGCGTTCCACTCGCCACGAGCTGTTGGCTAGGCGCACAACGCCCGGCAATTCCACCTCGCGCATCTTTCTTCGCATCCTCAATCTCCGAATCGCTCCACTCAACTGTCTCCCTCGGCATTGCCTGCCTGGGACACGCTGGCAGCCCAGCCCCTCCGCTCCTCCACCCCTCGCCTCCATCCGGCCGGTCTCCTGCTTCCCATGCGCGCTCCTCTCCGCTCCCTCTCTCTGCTCTCTGGTCCCCTCTATCCCTTCGCACCGCAAAGCACCTCGCCCTTCCACCCAGGTTTCTCTTATTCTGCTCCGGATCACCCCATCTCCCCTGTGCGGCCCGCTGCCTGCTTCTCTCCAGTCACCCGACGTGGTCTGCCTTCTCCTTATTCCGGCCCCCAGCGCTCTGCCTCGCGATCTGCCTCGCGCCAGCGTTGCCTCCTTCTCTTTGTCGCCATGCCCGTCGCGCGCGCCCGCAGCGCCGCCTGCAATTTGCATCGTCATTGTCACCCTGTGCTGCTGGGCGCTGTGAGAGCGAGCCGGTGCCGAGAGACGGCTGGTGCGAACGCCAGGGCCTCGCGGGACCTCGTCTTGGGGCTGCCGTCACGTGCGGCGTGGGAGCGAGCCCCTGCGCGGACAGAGGGCCGTCGAAGGCGCACGGCGGCTGCATCTGACACGGCGTGCGTGCCTGGCGCTCCCGGCTGCCCTGTGATGACGCTGGCCGGCCGCGCGAGCGACCCTCGCGCCTCGCGAGTCGTGCACGGCGCAGGCGTGACGGCCGCTGATCGACCTCGGCTCGCCTCGACTGCGCGGCGCGCCCCGCTCCCTTCTCCTCGCCCACCATCACCACCGCCCGGCCTGCCTCAAGTCAGCTCCCGCAAGGCCGTCTCTCCCTCCCACCACCCGCACCGCACCGCCACGCCGCCCGGCTCGCCTCCACTCTCGCCTCGCCTGCTGCGCCCGCCCCCACGCATGCAGCCCCTCGCTGCGTCTGCGTCGTGCTGCCCCTGACTCTGCCCACCGCTCGCAAGTGCGCCAGCGCTCGCGGTCTCTGCTGCGCCCTCACAGCGCCGCGCTGCCCGCACCCGCACTTGCCTGCCTCTCGCGCACCAACTCGACGCCCTTGCCGCCAGTCGCTCTTCGCCTTCTCTCCGAAGCCCAAGCCCTGCCGTGCGAGCTGCGCCGACATCTAATGGAGGACTCGCGCGCGCAGTCTAACCCGAGTCACCCCACCACACACGCGCCGTCACTCCCTGCTCCCGACACTGCATCTGCTGCACCCGCCGCCGCGCCGCACACGCCTGCCCTCGCCGCCGCCAAGCGCCACACTCGCTCCTCCACCACCCTAGACACCGGCACTGGCAGCAGCAGCAGCAGCAGCAGCAGCGCCGCCGCCGCCGCCGCCGCCCCGCCTGCTTCCGCACACAGCGCTCGCCGCGTCACTCGCGCTGCCGCCGCCGCAGCTGCCGCCGCCGTTGCATCGCCCGCCAGCGCCGCCTCGCCGTCGTCGCTCTCCAGCGCCTCGTCGTCGCGCCGCTCCAAGCGCAGCTCCGGCAGCGACGCCTCGTCGCTCAGCCAGCGCGCCCGCTCGCCTGCAGACACGCCGGCCACGACGGCATACAGCACGCCGGCCACCGTGCCTGCCTCTGCCGCCTCGTCGTCGTCGCGTGCACTCAAGAAGCGCGCTGCGCCGCAGGACCTCGACGACGAGCACGACGCCGAGACCACTGCCGCTGCTGCATCAGACGCCACGCCGTCTCGTGCGTCCAAGACTCGCGCGTCTGCACGCTCGCTCCGCTCCAGGTGGGTCATTCTCTCGCTCCGCTCACGCGCAGCAGCTGATCCCTCTCCCTCCAGGGCCTCGACGCTCGCAGCGTCTTCGTCCAGCAAGGGCAAGAAGCGCCAGATCTCGCCCGAGCAGGCCGAGCCCGCCGGTCCAAGCAGCGACTCGTCGCGCAGCGCCAAGCGCCAGCGCCACTCGGACAGCGGCGCCTACAACCTGCGCCCTCGTGCTTCTGCCGCCTCGCTCGCCGACCAAGCAGCCGAGCCCAGCAGCAGCCGCAGCGGCGCCGCGAGTTCTCGCCGCAAGACGCGCTCCAGCATGAGCGGTCCTCGAGTGTCCAACAGCTCCGCCTCGGGCTCTACGGTCGACGTCGCGGGCAGCAGCGCCGGCGGCAGCCGCGCCGCAGCCGTGGCGGCCAAGGGCAAGAGCAAGGCGCGCAGCTCTGGCGCGCGTGGCTCGCGTGCGGCAGCGGCGCGCGGCGCCTCGGACGCGCCGCCGCGCATGAAGGCCGAGTGCGACGACGACCAGATGGAGGTCGACGTCGAGGCCGGTGCCGCGCTCGCCGACGCTGCCGACGAGGCCGAGGCCGAGGCAGAGGCCAAGTACTCCTTCAGCGAACTCAGCGGTAGCCACAGTCCCGAGGACGAAGAGGACGAGGGCGACGATGACGACGAAGACGCGGCAGCCGACAGCGGCGCCAGTCCCTTTGGCGCGCTGCAGATGGACGAGGACGACGAGGATGACGATGAGGATGAGGGTCCGTACGACGACGAGGACGACATGGATGACCCGTACGGCGATGGCGGTCTTGGCGCGACGGGCGCCTATGGCCAGCTGCGCGCCATGGCAGGCTACATGTCGGGCCTCTCGGGCCGCTTCCGCACCCTGCTGGCGTCGCTGCGCAACTATGGCGACCCGACGATCCAGCTCGTGGCGCTACAGGAGCTCAGCGAGGTGCTCAGCATGAGCAATGAAGACACGCTCGCCGGCTACTTTCCGCTCGAGAGCTTCGTCCGCGAGCTCATTCACCTCATGGGCGGGCCCAAGCCGAGCGAGGCCGGTGCTGCTGGCGCAGCGGCAGAGGACAGCGGCGACGAGGAGGAACGCCTCAACGCCGCCGCTATTGCGGCCGCCACGGCCGAGGACAACGGCGAGGCCGCACTGCTGGCGTGCCGCTGTCTTGCCAACCTCATCGAGGCGATGCCGTACGCCGCCCACCAGGTCGTCGGCATGGGCCTGCTGCCCGTGCTCCTCTCGAAGCTCAAGGAGATTCAGTTCATCGATCTGGCGGAGCAGGTGCTGCAGGTGAGCTGCGCCACGCGCGCGTGCTGCGTCCGCGACTGCGCACTGACGCTTCTCCCACAGACGCTCGAGAAGATCTCGGCCGAGTATCCGACGGCCATCGTGCGCGAGGGCGGCCTGCTGGCCATGCTGCAGTTCATCGACTTCTTCGGCGTGCACGTGCAGCGCACGGCCATGCAGGCGGCGGCGCACTGCTGCCGCAAGCTGGGCGAGGAGTCGTTTGCAAAGGTGCGCGAGGTGATGCCGATCATCCAGAACGTGCTGGGCTACGCGGATCAGCGCCTCGTCGAGTCGGCATGCAAGTGCGTCGTGCGTGCCGTCGAGAGCTACCGCCATCATGGCGAGCTGCTGGAGCAGCTTCTGACCGGCGAGCTCCTCTCTGCCGTCAACGCCATCCTGCTGCCCGGCTCGGCTGCCGGTGTCTCGGGCGGCGGCGGCGGCGCCACCGCCGTCAGCACATCGACGTACACCGACATCCTCAAGATGCTCAGCTCGGCCGCGCACGCCAGTCCCAAGGTGGCCGTGATGCTGCTCGAGCACAACATCGTCGAGACGCTCTATCTGCTGCTCACTGGATCACCGGCACCGGCAGAGGACGGCTCGGGCGGCCGTGGACCTGCGGCGCTGGATTCCGTGCCCGGTGAGACCGAAGGCGCGGGCGGCGCGGCGTCTGGCTCTGCCGAGGCGGCGCCCATTGCCGTCGTGGCGCAGGCCAGTGATGCTCTCGTCGTCGACAGCGTGGCCGTGGCCGACGTGGCGGTGCTGCAGAACCTGGCACAGCGGCCCAAAGAGCAAGTGCAGGAGGCGCTCTCGCTCGTGGGAGAGCTCATGCCGCCGCTGCCACGCGACGGCGTCTTCGATGCACGCGCCTACAGCGAGAAGGCGTACCTGCGCAAGAAGAGCCGCGATGCCAAGAATGCGCGTGCGGCACAGCGCGCAAAGGCGGCGGCCGCAAAGGGCGGCAACACGGCCATCAAGCAGGAGCCCGACGCCGAGATGGCGAGCGCAACGGCTTCTTCGAGCGCGGCGCCGGCGCCCTCTGCCGACGTGCCGATCAAGAGCGAGCGCGTCAAGACGGAGCGCGAGCTGGCAAAGGAGTCGGCACAGGCCAAGCGCGTCGAGATGCTCACGGAGCGCAAGGCGCTCGTCAAGCGCTTCACACAGCTCGTCCTGCCCACGCTCGTCGAGGTGTACGCCGCCAGCGTGGCGCTGCATGTGCGCACAAAGGCCCTCTCGGGCATCCTCAAGATCGTCAGCTTCGTCGAGGCCGAGCCGCTCAGCGAGGTGCTTGACGTGAGTTGTGCTGGTGCGGCTCCATCATCTCTTGCTGATCACGCGTCGACCATCAGAACGTCCCGCTGGCCAGCTTCGCAGCGAGCATCCTGTCTGCACGCGACAACCCGGCGCTGGTCCTGGGCGCGCTGCAGATGGTCGAACTGCTCAACGCCAAGCTGCCGAGCGTGTACAGCGCCGCTCTGCGCCGCGAGGGCGTCGTGTGGGAGATCGAGGACATTGCCAACAAGGAGCCGACGGCATCGACGGTGGCCGCCTCGCCCTCCAAGACGCGCGATGACAAGCCTGCAGCGACCAACCCCTCGGTCTCGGCATCTGCACAGCTGCTCCAGGCCCTCGCTGGCGATGGCCGTCGCGCCGACGACGCCAGCCCCGAGGCATCTCGTGCGCGCCTGCAGGCGCTGCGCGAGCAGACACGCGAGCTCACCGAGGCCAGTGCACGCTTTCTCGCGGCGGGCAGCAGCATTACCAGGAAGCCGCCGGTCACCAGCGCAGATGCGGCCGTCGCAGCTGCGACGGAGCAGGAGGACGCCAACATCTGGCGCGCGCGCCTGCTGCGCGACCGCTTCAACGAGGACGTCGTGGCGGGCGGCACGGCCGAAGGCTCCGAGGCTCTGCGTGCACTCGACAACCTGCAGGCTCTCTCGGCCACGCTTGGTGCCGAGGCTGTCGGTGACGAGGCTGTAGCCGAGCAGACGCTGCAGGCCATCGCGCCGCTCTTCTCGCAGCGCGACAGTCCCATCTCCAGCTTCGAGCTGCTGCGCTCCGGCCTCGTCGACGCGCTGTACGAGTTTGCAGTCGGCAACTCGGCGGCTGTGCCGACAGAGCGGCGCCGGGCACTCTTGCTCGACGCACTCATGGCCAGCTCTGCCGACGGCGGCTCGACGGCCGCGGCGGCGCTGGTGCGCCGCCTGCAGGAGACGCTGAGCCGCCTGGAGAAGTTTGAGATCACCGCGGCCATCACCAGTGGCGGCGAGGACACGCGGCGCAGCCCCACGGCCAACGTCTCGCGCGCCGTGCGCCTCAAGCTCGTCGCCGACGGCAACACGACGGGCATCCCGCGCACGTGCCAGAATGCGTTGATCACCATCCACGCCATCGCGCCTTTCCAGGCGGTCAACGACTATCTGCGGCCCAAGATTGCCGCGGGTCTCGCTGGCGGCCCGTCGGCGATTGGTGCTGGGGCCGGCGCGGCATCCCGCCTCTCCGGCATGCTGGCCGCAATGGCCGACTCGGGGCTCGAGCTGCCGCCCGGTCTCGCTGCCGCTGCCGCAGCCGTCGCAGCAGGTGGCCGCAAGAGAGTTGGCGCAGCAGACGCCCCTGCCGCCACTGCGTCCAGCGCCGCGGCAGAGGCCGGCTCGTCGAGCGCTGCAGCTGCACCGGCCTCCTCGAGCGAAGCTTCGGAGAAGCCGCGGCGCAGCTCGCGCCTCAGCGGTGCAAGCGCGCTGGGCGAGGCCGAGGCGCCAGACAGCGCGCCAGACGTCAAGGCTGAGGCTGATGTGAAGGCCGAGGCCCCGGCAGCCGCTGCTGCCGCGGACGCGCGCGACGAGGGCGAGGATGAGAACTCGGCTGCGGCGCGCCGCATCGTTGAGGACTTCATGGGCGCCATGGACGAGGAGGACGAGTTCGGCGGCGACTACGACGAGGAAGACATCATCGACGACGCGGCCATGTCGGGCTTCGCGGCGCGTGCCGGCGACACGTCGACGTCGAGCAACGAGGACCGCACGGTGAACCTCAAGGTCACGGGCGACGCGAGCTCCGCCAGTGCGGGCACGCCGGCCGCGTCGCGGTCAGGCTCGGGCAATAACGCCGCGGTCCCGGCAGCCACCGCCGCGAGCGGCAGCGGCAGCAGTACCGAGACGGCCGCTGCGCCGAAGCCGTCGTACGCGTCCATGGCGCAGAAGCAGCCAAACGACTGGCACCTCGTGTTCGAGGTCGGCGGACAGCCCGTCAGCCTCGACTCGACGATCTACCGTGCGATCCACAATTTCGAGATGACGCCGGAGCGCCAGACCACCGGCCTGCACCGCCACATTTGGAACAACGTGTACACGGTCAAGTTCCGCCGCGTCGACGGGCCGGCACCCGCACCTGCTGCGGGTGAGTTTCGTGCGCAGGCACGCCTGGGCCACACCGCTGACCTTCGCACAGCCGCCGCGACGCCCGAGCCGGAGGACGCCTCGTCGTCGGCCGTCGTGCTGCCCTCTTCTGTCGCCGAGGACGCGTCGTTCGCCAAAATTCTGCAGCTGCTGAGCGTGCTGCACGAGCTCAACGCCGAGTGGCGGCAGGACCCAGCGCGCAGCGAGAGTGCCGGCGTGGCTGCGCTCTCCGAGGCCGCATTCGTCAACAACAAGCTGACGGCCAAGCTGAACCGGCAGCTCGAGGAGCCGCTGGTCGTGGCGAGCGCGTGTCTGCCCGACTGGGCGCTCGAGCTGCCCAAGACGTTCCCCTTCCTCTTCCCCTTCGAGGCGCGCTACTCGTTCCTGCAGAACACGGCCTTTGACTGCCCGCGCCTCATCGCGCGCTGGCAGACGCAGCAGTCGCGCAACCAGGATCCCTCGTCGGCGGCGGCGGCGTCGCGCACCGACGATGCGCGTGCCGTCGTGGGCCGCCTGAGCCGGCAGAAGGTGCGCATCGGGCGGCAGAACATCTTCGGCTCGGCGCTCAAGGTGTTTGAGCTCTACGGCTCGTCGTCGGCGCTGCTGGAGATCGAGTACTTCGACGAGGTCGGCACGGGCCTGGGACCAACGCTCGAGTTCTACGCACTCGTCAGCAAGGAGTTTGCACGCAAGGATCTCGGCCTCTGGCGCGACGACGGCGCCGGCGCGGCCGACTCGCGCTTCGTCTCTGCCAAGCAGGGCCTCTTCCCGGCCGTGGCCGACGCCGCGACGCGCGCGGCGGCACAGACGCCCGAGAGCGAGGCGGCAAAGACGAATCTGCGGCTGCAGTCCTTTGTCGTGCTGGGCCAGTTCGTCGCAAAGGCGCTGCTCGACTCGCGCATCATCGACGTGCACTTTTCGTCGGTGTTCCTGCGCGCTGCGCTGCTCAACGGCCGTGTGCCCGAGACGCTCGCCACGCTGGCGCAGGTGGACGCAGCGCTGGCGCGCAGCATGCAGCAGCTGCTTGCCATGCCGCCCGCCGACGTCGAGGCGCTCGGCCTCGACTTTACGCTTCCGGGCCGCGCCGAGTACGAGCTGCACGCCGGCGGCGCCAGCGAGACGGTCACGGGCGCCACGGTGCAGCAGTACGTGGCCGAGGTGCTCTCGCACACGCTCGTGCAGGGCGTGCGACCCTACGTGCGCGCCTTCCGCCGCGGCTTCAACGGCATCTTGCCGCTCGGCAGCATGGCCAGCTTCAGTGCCGACGAGCTCGTGCTGCTCTTTGGCAACACTGACGAGGACTGGAGCGAGGCGACGCTGCTGGCTGCCATCAAGCCCGACCACGGCTTCACGGGCGACAGTCTGGCGTTCCGCGACGTCGTCGCGCTGATGGCGGCCTTCTCGCTCGACGAGCGCCGGCGCTTCCTGCAGTGGCTCACGGGCTCGCCCAAGCTGCCCATCGGCGGCCTGGCGGGCCTGCACCCGCAGCTGACGATCGTCAAGCGGCCGCACGAGGCGCCGCTGACGCCCGACGACTACCTGCCCTCGGTCATGACGTGCGTCAACTACCTCAAGCTGCCCGCCTACTCGAGCCGCGACGTCATGCGCCGCCGCCTCGAGACGGCCATGCGCGAGGGCGGCACGAGCTTCCACCTGTCGTGAGGCGTGCGAGGCCCGAGCGCGCTAGACGGGCACTCCAGTGCCACACCATCCCATCATCCCTTCCGTCCAGCATTGACCCCTACATCCATGCCTCTTTCCCTCTCCCTCATGCGCTACCACACCAGACTTGGCTTCTCTTTCCCACCTCTTTCACCTCATGCGCTCGCGACTTCCCCCACCATTCAGTCTTGGCAACGATTATCGGCACATTCCATCAGCGCGCCGTGCGAGAGAGAGAGAGAGAGAGAGATCGATTAAGGGTGTGTGTAGTCTAGAGCAGGAGGTGTGACAAACGCGGGCTGCGCGCGATCACCAATCGCAAGCATCGACCAGGAGCCTCGCGATGCCCTCCAGGCCCTTGCGATCCTCGTCGTCGAAGCCCTCGAGCTGTTCACAGTCGATGTCCAGCACGCCGATGATGACGTCTTGCCCGTCTCCGCGGCCTGCCCACTCTGGCCGGCTCGCGTCGAAGGCCGAGAGGCGGCCGCGGGCAATAACGAGCGGCACGACAATCTCGGAGCGCGAAGCACTGTCGCATGCGATGTGGCCCGCTGTTCTCTTGCCATGTCAGCACAGCACAGCAGGAGTGAAGCCGAGGCAGGAGCTGACGCACGGTACGCGTCGGTGTCGCGCACGACGACGGAGGTGGGAGGCAGCACGGCACTGCCGTCTGCGCACACGCCCTTGCCTGCGATGGACGGAATGGCCTGGCAGGCGGGCAGGCCGTGGAAGGGCGCGAGGAGCAGAGTGGGCCGCTTTTGCGGGCCGGAATGAGGGATGAGAGGGGAGAGGAGGTAGAAGCCTGAGCCACGAACAGAGAGAGGGGCAAGGGAGGGGCAAGAGAGGTCAGTGAGCTGCGCCCCAAAGAGAAGCCGGGCGCAGCAGAAGGACGACGGCAAGACTTGCCGCTGTGGCTCTGCTGGGGGTGCCAGGCTTGACGTTCGAAGGAGACGGCCTGCGCATGGCCAGCCGTACCTGCCTGCGGATCCCACCCTCGCCTCTCCTCGCTGCCACACTGCCTCCTCGCTGCCACCCTGCCTCCTCGCGCTCTGCGATGCCTCTCGCCTGTCTCTCGCCGCTCGCGACTCGCCTTGCGCCCCTCTGCTCCCCCTCTTGCCTCCTAGCTGCGCACTCACCGGCCCAGTTGATGCGCTTGCCCCTGCTGCGCTTCCACTCGTTGAGCGCGGCATACAGCACGCTGCTGGCGTTGGCCAGGTTGCACACCCAGGCGCGCTGCCCCTCGCACAGCGCGGCGACCTGCTCGCCGACGTGCGCGTAGAAGGCGGCGGGCGAGGCGAGCGCGGCGGCAGGCAGCGTGGCGGCGTCGGCGTGGACCATGGCGGCGCGAGCTGCGAGGGCGTTGATGAGGCAGGGAGAGAAGGAGCGCAGTAGAGTGAGGTCCGGAAGAAGCCAAGCCCCGTGCGCAAGAAGAAGGTGGAGCTCGTGCACGCGCGGCGAAAGCACGCCATGCGCTTGACAGGCGTGGGAACCTGAACGCCTCGACGGCGGGGGGCGCGGGCCGTGCAGCGTGCTGGTGCGTTCGCTCGGCCTCTCGCCCTCGACTCTCCCGACCACAACAGCAACCACAGGCGTGCACAGCGACGACGCTCGCCGATGCCGCTCTTCTCGCCGCGCGCAACAGCGGCGCGCCTGTCGGGCCAAGTGCACACCGCAGAGGCTGCCGAGAGCGCACGCGACACAGCGGCAGCCGCAGCAACGGCAGCCGCGACCGCCGAGGCATACGCACATGTCTCGCACGCCGAGCTGACCGATCTGCGCGCGGTGCAGCGCACGTTTGTGCGTCCCTGCTCTCAGCTCCACAGCAGCGACTGGAGCGCTGACGCCCATTGCCCATGCGGCTGCTCGGCGGTGCAGGACGGAGCCTATGCTCGCACAGCCCTCGCGCAGCTCGGCTATGCAGTCGTCATCCTGCGCCTCTTCAGTGCCGACTTCTACTACATCGGGTCAGTGTGGCGCAGTCTGCCTTGCTTTGCGCTCGGGCCTGCGTGCTGTAAGCTGACAATCGAAGTACTCATGGGGGCGCAGGCTGGCATACACTCTCCTCGCCCTCCTCTTGCTGCTGGCCTCGGCCTATCGCCACAATCTCGTCGTGCATTTCCTGCCCACGCCCGCGCCTTCGCCCACGACGGCCACGCCGTTGCTCTGCGCTGTTGCGCCTGCATCTGCTGCGCACGACGACGCAGGTCTGGGCGTGCAGCTCGCGCCCGCAGCAGCAGGGCCAGCAAGCCAGGCAATGTCTCGCGCTCCGAGCGCCCTCAGCGCGACGAGCACCACAAGCACCGCGCGCACGACGGCTCCCCGCACGCGGCAGCGACACATGGCCATGGCCTCGCATCTCTTCACCGCCGGCGACGTCGTGGCGCTGCTGTCGGCGGGCATGCTGCTCGTGCAGGTGGCGCTCTTCGTGCTTGTGCTTCGCCTTTGAGCGGGAGAGAGAGAGTGAAGGATGGGAGGAGGGGCACGGGAAAACGGCACGTTGGCTCGGCTGGCCAATTTGCCTCACATGACGGGCGCGGAAAATCCGGCGCGCTCTCTCCCCCCATCGTCAAGTCCTGCTCGTCTACCGCCCTTTTGCGGCATCG